ATATATATATATATATATATATATATATATATATATATATATATATATATATATATATATATATATATATATATATATATATATTAATATAATATTTAATTATAAATTATGATAAATTGAAAGTCCACATATTGAAGTAATGCATTTTTTGATCGTTCTCCGAGAAGCTCTTTCTTCCTCTCTTCATATATTATTATACCTCTGATTCGCGACGATTTTACGATTTTTGATCGTTCAAAAGCTGGAGAACGCTTCGGTATTTAAGCGAAAACGCGACGAAGACTCGCGCCTCGCCGGCAATTCTCGGCGCAATAACCGAAAGCCCGAGGTTATCGTTTACATTATGAGCTTCTATCTTTATCACGCACGATGTGCTTGATGCAACCAGGTCACGGCGGCAATTTCGAGAAGGCTTCCAAGGAGACCACGGACGCCTTCGGTGTCGGTTACGACTACGGCAGCGTAATGCACTACTCGTCGAAGGCGTTTTCCAAGAACGGTCAACCCACGATAATACCGAGATCCGTAAGTGATCCGTGATAGTGCTTTTACGAACTCGTCCTTCGTCCCACGACGAACTCGTCCTTTATTCTACCGTGTCTGGCGAGGAGGCTTATACTCGCGCGAATTTTTCGATAAAGAAACGCGCCTGCTTAAAGTGACGGATATAAGACGATACGATTACATTACATTCAGGTTGAATGTAAATCAAGTATCATCTTGATGATTTACACTGGGAAATTTAGATTAAAATTCAGGCTAAATCTTATGTAACGTTACCGTTTTGTATTCATCATTTTAAGCAGGAAGCACGAGTGTCTCTCGAGAGTTTCTCGTCTCGAATTGCTTGCACTTGTACGCAATGTGTCCGCAGGAGAGGCCGACTGGCATTTTGGGTATCATCGGCGATATCTTCCAGGAGAACAGCCGACAGGAGATCGGCCAGAGAGATGGTTTCAGCAAGAGAGACATCCAAAAAATCAGGCGGATGTATAGATGCAACAAACGCAGGCGCAGCCAATACTGAACGAACGAATCTAGATGATCATCCGGCAATTAATTGATCTTAATTTATCTCGAATATTGCGTGTTAGATTTGCGTATAATAAGAGCAAAGGGATGATGATAATGAAGAAGAAAAAGATCTAGTCTTATGTGTAAAACGCACGGAAAAGCAATACCGGCGAGTGTGGTCAGTATTATTATAATCTTTAGGGAACTAAACGTAATGCCACGAGTGTATATCTACCTTAAGTTTTAAGTCTCACACACGTATTACAAAATATATCTTCAAGTGCATCACACGTCAGTGTGACGTCGGTCCTTTCTTGAAAGAGTTCTCTCCAGCCGTGCGTCTCTGAGTGTCTCCGACGCGTCTCGTCGATGAGTCGTAATAATGCACTCTTTGATCGTTCTCCTCTTTCCTCCTCTCTTCATCTCTTGCCATATCCCTGTGGCTTGATTCGCGGTGATTTTTGATCGTTCAAGAGCTAGAGAACGCCTCGGTATTTAAGACGGTGGCGACAGCGTGGCGAAGACTCGCGCCTCGCCGTCGATGAGCGATCCTAAAGCGAAAACGACGGCGAAGATAACGGATGAGATACGGAGCGTTGCGTTAATCTGTGCGACGGCGAATATCTCGCGAGATATGTTACCGTCGGGGAACGCACGCCAAGTTCACGACGGCATACTTCGGCAGAGATATCGAGACCTTCCGCGATAGGACGTCCTTTATTTGTACATCATCTTACAAGTGATTCGTGGGAGAATACACCGGCGATATAATGTACTATTTACAGTAATGAGCTCGCTTAACTTTACTTGTACGGTGGAAACGCGCAGCAGGATTGCGAGCGGGTGGTCTCGCTTGTCGAAGGTTATCGCGGTTGGCGACGGCTGATCTATTTGGTACGAAGTTACGATCACTGGGACAGACTGTTACCACGAGGAGTGCTTAAACGTACGGCCCGAACGGGCGTGAAATAAAACTCTAAGCTGTCTTATAGCTAGGAGAAACCGGTAACACGATCCTTGTTGTCGGCGATACTATTATGTAAGTCTCGAGAGAGATACATTGTATGAATGACACGAGATGCCGAGGCAGTGATAAGCCGCGATTGAATAATATTCCGGGTGCAGCGTCGTGTAACGAGTCGATAATTCGATAATTGGAGATGTGATGATTACGATTGCTGAGAGAGAAAGAGACATTTTAAGATCGCCGAAAGAATGCGTGTCACACAAGGTGTACGTACTATATGGACTCGAAATAAAGCGAAGATCGAAAGAACGCTCGAAGAAATGTCTGAAGAGTCGGCGGAACTTCTTCCTGGACGTCTTTCAGATATTCGTATCGCCTGGAGAATCACGCTGCTTCTCGCGAAGTAGGAGAACGTCGTAATCGAACATCAAGCAAGTTCGAGTCAACCGACCCAGGTCTTCTTGATGAAGTCCGCTGCTCTTTCACCTATAAATGACATGTATGTGTGTATATGTACATATATTATATTATGATATAAAGAATCTTATATTTACATACACCCTATACTGAGAAATGTTTGGCATTTGAAACTATAGTCAACACAGAGAAATAATCACTATAGATTATGGTCAAGAAAACCATTTTTTAAGTAGTTACTACTACCGTCTTCGTGTTGAGGCAACCAAAAAGTATGCCTATCAAACATCAATTAACAGTAACATTATGTTATAATGTTACTGTTATAATCCACCCAACAGTGTAACACTGTTACGTTACACACGCATTATATTGCGTTTATATTGTTGAGTGGGAAATCTTAACATTGATTTTATGCTACTGATAGTTGGCGTTTACTAGGATGGTTCCCAGTAAATACTAAACATCAGTTATATTACATCTGTGTGACAGTTTCTCACTCAACAATATAAATGCAATATAATACATGTGTTATACCGCATTAACATTGGGTAACGAGATATTACAACATAGATCCAATATAATTGATGCTCGCAGTGTTCACTAGCTTGGGACTAAAAAGATTTATAATTTTCGTAAGTTCAGCTATTTATATTTATATTTAGACATTCTCTTCGATCAAACAATTCCGACGGATGCGGAAACTCGACACTTGTTACTTTAAGAAAAATTACTAATGAAAAGAATCGATAACACGGTAGAAATATTCTAGTTCTTACTTAGTCCTTATTTAGTAGTTTTTATTTAATAGTTTTTATTTAAATAAAATTAGATGCTATTGCAATTAATGTCATTTGTTAAGGTGAGCCTTTTTAATAAAATTATGTTAGTCCGTATGACTTCTTTTTGTCTATAATCAGAGTTGGAATATTTTAATTTCAACATCCGCGTCTGATGTTAAATTTGATGAGATACGAGGTGAGTTATCTACTGTTTGATTTACAGAAAAATATTTCTAAATCCAATTTCTTTAAGTCTGATCTAAAAAATGAGAATCCAAAGACAAGAATCTGACTCGATAAAGTTGTTTCAAATTTTATTTTGTTGGTTTACCCTCAGTACAGTTAAAAATGTTTAGTTAAACGAAAGTTATAACACTGTCCAATAAACACCAAGTCTCACGAAGGACACTGCTCAAGTGTGACATTTTTCTTGAAACTTAACACGTACATAACATATGACATGAAATTTCATATGTGATACTTTATATCGGCCCGTCTTTTAATTTGCACAATTATTTAGACGATTGTTTACGGATTTTAGACCTATGGATTCCAGGTTTACGGGTTTATGGGTTTTCGAGTTATGGGTTTTGAGTGCATAAATTTACGTTCTTATAACTTTTAGGTTTATGTGTTTTAGATTTACATGTTATGGGCTTATAAATATCAGTTTTTACGTACATCGCCATTTCGAGTTTTGTTTAAACAATCGTCTAAATAATTGTGCAAATTAAACAACAAGCCAATATCAAATATCAAATATGAAATGTCATGTCATATGCTATGTGCATGCTGAGTTTCAAGAAAAATGGCATGTCACACTTGAGTATTGTCCCTTGTTAGTAGCATAACTTGTTAGCAAAAATAACTTGTTAGTAGCATACATCGATGTTACAATGTCAGCTCAACCATATGTTATATAACATATATATCGCATGTAACAGTTACGTAACATATTATATGATTGAGCTGACATTGTAACAACGATGTTACGTCACCGATACTTGGTGTTTATCGGATGTATGCCCGAAGAAACTCATTACATACCGATCATGATCGCGGGCGCGTTCGTATTGCCGGACGTCACTCTCGGCATGATGCTCGTGTCGGCCACCCTCACGCCCCGCACCCCTCTGACTCGTAATTGATTGTCAACCACGGCCAAGGGGTCGTCCGGCGGTCCCATCTTGCACGAGCCCGCCTGATGATTCTCGGGCGCGGTGTCGTGTCGGATCGCGCAATGCCAGTAAGCGTCGCAGCCGAATTTCAGGTGCTCGCAGTTTTTCACCGGGGTTCGGTCCAGCTCGAAACCATACCTGAAACGGCACATTCGACGGAACATTCCCAACAAACGCCAGCTAACGGTAAACATTACGTCAATGTTACAATACATTCGACAATGTAACTGTTACATAACACACGTGTTACGCACGCATTTACATTATAGAGCGAGAATTTGTAACATTGATGTTACAAATATGTATTATGTTACAGATATGTAGTTGGTGTTTGCTGGATTCAAATTTAACACAAATTCGTGCTCGCGTTTCGTGACGACAAGGCTAACGAGTCGTGAATTAATTGAAGAGATGCTGTGTCGCTTTGGCAACTTTTGAATGCTTTGAAAAAGCATGTGAATGAAAGTGTCTCAAAAATTATTCTTTTATATAAAACAAGAGTATAAATTATGCAAAAAAAGGGAGAGAAACTAAGGGCGCTCGCTACACCTTCGTTTGCATAATTTGACGAAGAGAAGTGAAAGCCACTTGCCTCTTGAGCGCCTGGGTCTCCGCTAACTTGATGCTAAACTTAATAGCCTCCACAAGAGCGGCCGAGTCGTCGGGATGAGTCAGGTATTTGGGGTAGATCAGCGGCTTCGAGAGGGGGTCGTTGTTTCGCAAGCGCAGATAACCGCGGCTCTTCGGATGCAGAATCGTCGGGATGATGTAGATGCTGCGGTTCGCGCCCTTCTTCTCGCCCACCATACCGGTCTCCGCACAGTCGGCCAGGTAGCCGCCGAAGATTAACTGAACGTCTGGGTGATCTTCCCGTTGATCTGCGAACTTGGTGTTGATCATCGCCGTCACCTCGGAGATCCCTGGCCAGAATGCAAGAATTAGTGTCTACTCGTAATTACCGTATTGAAATCTAACAAGTAAATTTACCTAAAAGGTATATTCTAATTTCTTTGCAATTTGGCACAAATATAGAACTACAAAAAATATTTAGATCATATTTTTTCATTTTGATCCACTTTGAGTTTTACAGTTTATAGCTTTTTAATGTTCTCACTTCTATCATCAACAAGTTTAACAAAAATATATAAGAAATAAAATTGAATACAAGATATAATTAAATAATTTTAACAAAATCGGCATAACTGAGACATAAACCATTCTAAATTTCTTTAGCCGAGATTCCAACTGAAATATTTTAATTCTGTGTTAAATTAGTCCAAAATGATTCGAATCTCGGCCAAACTGAGAGAAAAATCCGGTAATTTTAATTAAAGTCTTAACAAAATCGGCATAGTTGAGACATGAACCATTTTAAGTTTCTTTAACCGAGATTCCAACCGAAATATTTTAAATCTGTGCTAAATTAGTCAAAAATGATTCTAATCTCGGCCAAACCGAGAAATTATTTATATAAATAATTTTTTCAGGAATTACAAAAAGTAAATTTAGACAGTAAATTTCTAAAATAAAAAACATAAAAAATAACAAAATTTCACAGTTTTATAGTAATTTTTTACTATAAAATTCTCTCCTCACAGTAATTACACAAATAATTCCGAAACTAAGAACATTCTACAGTAAATCATTGTCAAATGGACAAACCGTCGAATCGACTCACGTCGGTCGCAATCTATCTTTTGGAAGCTTTTCTCCATAGAAATTAATGGCGCCTGCATAATTTTTTCTCTACGCAAAACCTCAATGAATCACCAATCGCACTACGAGCACCGGTGATCGATGAATGACGGTTTCGATCGTCCCGATACAATTCATTGTGATTTGTAATTAATCACCGAGCGTGACCGGAGCAGCGATGTATCGCGGCGTTGCGAAATCGAGGTGCGATCGACAACGTTCCTCCGCAACCAGAGACGAAAATGACTTAGTCTGACAATAAATTACTCGGTAATTTCTGGAAGCTGGTAAAATGGTGATTTAGAAAAAAATTATAGAAATAAGAAATTATATTTTGATATAAAGCTCAAGAGGAGTATTTAGTCTTTAAGAAAGAGTAAGATACTTTATAAATTGAATTTTTACTGGAATTTTAAGAAATAAAAACTTTATAATATCCTCAAAAGATTGTATAAATAGTTTCCTCTCTTTTATCTGAGAGACATTTCAGAGATTGTTAGACGTACATTTGATGAGAGAATAAGAAGAATGTTATTTTATGCAACAGTGCGAAAAACGCGAATATTTGTGCATGTAACTGTCGGAAACAAGAGTTACTAATAAACCACCAGTTATTTACCAGTTTATCGTGACCACCGTAAGCAGTCGTCACTTTGGAAATCTGACGGCAACTTTACATCTCTATCCGGCAACATACTGGCGGGTCGTGTCCGGCGCACCCTTACGTAATCTGATCGAATCGCAGAGAGCCGCGATCGCGTAGCCGCGTGACCGACGTAAGAGAGAAGCGGATCCCGGGGCTGCGTTTAGCGCTGAGGAACCACGCTATTACAGCGTTTCGCTGCCGGCGGCGGTTTCGTGCCGCGAAGGTAGCGAAGGTGAGCGAGGCGCGAGAGAGGCCCGACACGAAGGAGTTCAGCCCCCGAGGTGACGCTCGTTAAGAACCAGCCCAGCTCGGGGCTATATCGATCGTGCCGAATACCTTAAAAAGCGCTCCGGATTATGACCAGGAATACGAGTCAGTATCGTGAAAGGGATATACACGTTGCTTACGTTACGGGCACGCCGCGGTATCTGCATGAATTACCGAACAATTCGCTCGGGCGAATTCCCAGAGCGAAACTATGCTCTCGCTTCATTCCCAACGGATCAGCACCGCTCCACCTTGCCTCACCCTCCACCTTCTCTTCCTCCTCCTCCGCCCGGCGTCTTTGATTAATGATCAAAAGTGGAGCGCGAGTAAGGGGGCACGAGTTAACGCGATCCCCGATCGGCCTTCGTAGCCTAATTAGCTGTATTAATTAGACGCACGAGCGGAAGATGGAACGCACCGGGGGACGACCAGCAGCCTGGCTTTCTCGGGCGTATATCTTCTTCCCGTATTGTTTATCGACCCCAGCGGGCCAACAAACGCGAATAACCGCGAATACCACTGGTGCACAGTGGGATCAGATGAAATTTCGTGTTCCAAAAGAAGGTTCTTGAACCTTGAATCGACCTCTTTTTCTTCCCTCTTTCTTATGAAAGCTAATGAAATTTGGAACAATCTTATTAAGTCAGACTTTGCCCTTTGCTTCCATTCTTCTAGATCAGGAAGATTTAAACATTCTCTTCGATCAAACAATTTCGACGGATGAGGAAGCTCGACACTTGTTACTTTAAGAAGAATTACTAATAAAAAGAATCGATAACACGATAGCAATGATCTAATTCTTACTTAGTTCTTACTTAGTAGTTTTTATTTAGTAGTTTTTATTTAAATAAAATTAGATACTATTGCAATTAATGTCATTTGTTAAGGTGAGTCTTTTTAATAAAATTATGTTAGTCCGTATGACTTCTTTTTGTCTATAATCAGAGTTGGAATATTTTAATTTCAACAACATCCGCGTCTGATGTTAAATTTGATGAGATACGAGGTGAGTTATCTACTGTTTGACTTACAGAAAAATATTTCTAAATCCAATTTCTTTAAGTCTGATCTAAAAAATGAGAATCCAAAGACAAGAATCTAACTCGATAAAGTTGTTTCAAATTTTATTAGCTTTCACTAAAAAAGAGAAAGAAAAAGAAGCATCGAGATCGGTTCACATTTCGAAACTGTAGCTCTTCTTGCAACATAAAATTTCATTTGACCTCTACTGTGAGCCGTGCACACGTATGTATATCTTCCTGAACGGTAAACCACGCCGGTTAGCGGCGCGCGATGTAATTTAGCTCGCGATGGAAAATGTAAATGCGAACACGCTCGTCGAATAGACGCTCGCGGAGAGGCGAAACTGTGGCTATTTTCCGCGAATAAGAGGCTAATATTAATTTATGGGATTATTTAACGGCTGGTAATGCCGATATTAATGGACGGTGATATTGCATCCGGTTCGTAATGAGAGAAAAGTTGGCGATGCGCCGGTTACGCGAGACGCGAGATTGCCTTTCGCAGAAATGTGTCCGATAAACGCTGGCATTTATGCACATAATGTCCATTAGTCATCAACGCAATGATTTTATACACGTCTACGACGTTTCTACGTTTTTTCCCGAGCTTTCTTCCCTTCACCCCGAATGTCACGATGCTCGAAAAATATCGTAATGTGCTGTAAACAAATGCGCTGTGTGTGCGCGCGAAATACGCGCGAGCGAAATAGCGGCACGGAATCGGGAGATCGGTGGATAATTTCAGTTGACAGACCATGAGGAGAGCAGAGTCACGAGCGTGAGGTGATGACCGGTTTTAAATTGGTCCGCGGCTATCTGAATGACGGTAAATGGGCCTATCGGGCTGGGACCGTCACGTAATAGTCGGATCGCCGGACACGACGACGAACGTGATCATTGTGCAATACACTTTCACTGCTTGCGCACGAGGTCCGCGAATTAATGCCCCGAGATGCAACATCTTCGACACGGTAAACAGGAAAACGTGCATCGAGAGAGGCGGTGTCCTGACGCGGTCTGCCTCGTTGTCTCCCTCGGATCAATGAAGTCGTTTAATTCCTAGCACAAAACCAATTCCGGAACCTAACGCGGACTAGCGCTTACAGTAGAGTTCGATTGCATTGTTCAGTCATTATAAATATATTAGCAGTCATCACGAGTCATTAGTCGACGAGCAAAGTAACATTTCCAATGTTGCAAGCGTCGGATTGCAAGCGTCTAAAGTTGTTAAGGCAGAAGAGGGAAGATCCAAAAGGTCGATATTGACGACAGAATGAAAGAAAGATACTTTCTTTCCTCGATATTTGCGACTTAAGTTTAAGTTTAAGTTGTAAGAGCAATGTGTCTTACCTGTGCCAGACATCAGACCGTCCCTGAACAGCAAGTACTCCATGGCGGTCGCCCAGTTGAGAGGAGTGGTGTCGGTGTCATTAATGGTGAAGACCAGAGCGTAGGCCACGTGATTGTGAAGATTCTTGCCGACACCTGGAAGATCACGGACGACCGGCACACCCACCGCGTTGAGCTCTTCCCGAGGCCCTATGCCGCTGTTCAAGAGGATCTGCGGCGAGTTAACGGCACCTAAGATAAATAAAGCGTGTTGAGACGACTTAATTACAGGGATTCGTGCCGATTCGTGGCGATAAAGCGAGATCCACGGTAAATCGTGAATAATGACCGGCCACCGGACGACCACGATGCATGTGGAAACGTGTGTAATAGCACGAGCGCGTGAATTAGCTTAATTATAAGCCTGAGAAACACGACTGGGAGACGCATGATCATGCGTAACTTATATGCGGATTAACCCGCGATTAATTTGCCAGTATCGATATCTTCGATCAGTTTTTCTCCTCCTACCAACGGACAAGGGCCTTGCACACGTATCTCCGTATCTTCCATCGTTCTGGCGTGATTGCGAATTCCGGTTCGGCCCAAGGACATCGCCGATACCAACCCGCGCAATCCGTATTGTTCGAGAGAAACCGTACGCGCGATTATACCATACCCCCGAGAGACAATTTGCGGAAGGATGAGTAATTAAGTCCGCCTCCACGGGACGTGGCGTTTCTAAACTTAGATTCCTGCTATCCACTCGCGACCTTCGGCATGGAAAGGAACATGTTCCTACTTTCTAGCTTCCCTTCGCGTTCAGGACTAATCGACGGAGAAGCCACGACCATGATGGAACCCGATTCGTGACAAATTAACTAGAATGTCATTTTGACTTCCTTTAGGTCTTCTTGTTGTCTCTATTTCTATCCCTCGTGACTTAGGAAAACAAATACCTTGTGACTTTTAATTACATTTTTAAAATGTTCAGAAATCATTGACACGAGTAATGAAGAACAAAGAGGGAGTTTTAAAACGTTAGAATCGCAAAGGATCAAAATGACTCTTTAGGGTATCCAAAAGGGGTCGTAGTTCCCAGACATTCTAGTGTTAAACTAGTCGATGAATTGTTGCTTGTATTGTAGGTAATCAGATGAGCGGAAGAATCACCTCCGCTAATGACGACCTCTTTCGCCACCGACACGCGCTTAATCATTCCATCGTGGACGAATTCGACGCCGACCGCCCTGTTGTTCTCGTCGAAGAGGATCCTCGTCGCCGTCGAGTTCAGCATTATGTGAAGGTTTGGCCGATTCCTGGCGGGACGGAGGAAAGCACGCGCCGTGGACAGCCGTGAACCATTTCGCGACGTGGTCTGCGCTATGGCGAATCCTGTGTGCGTCCGTCCGTTCAGATCGACCGTGTCGTATCCTGATACACAGATAAGAATTGTTCATTCCAGCTGCAACCATCCCGCCTTACTCCAGTTATTGCAAAATATCAAGGGGACGAAATAAGGAAGAGGCTTTACGTCCATATTTTTCGCGGGTCTCAAGTTTGTATCAACAGTAACTTGAAACTTGGTGAATCTCAGGTGAGATATCCAGATTTTAATTTAGAGTTTACTGTTTAGTAAATAGTTTACTGATAATCAAAAAAGAAGTGAAAGAGAGAGAGAGCAGAACAATAGATAACATAATTTAAACATCCCGGATGTCTCGATCTAACAAAAAACAGAAATCATATAAGAAGAAATATAAGAAGGAAAACTTACTAGAAATGTATCTAGGTATGTTATATAAACTTGTATGTTGACATACAAGTTATGTAGACATTAGAGTAAAAAAGACATTGTATCCTATAAAGAGCTAATTACGCTTACCCATCTCTTTGCCGGCTTCCAAGAGGGCGAAGCTCAACGGCGGATGATAAGGAAACTGCGTGACCGTGAGCGGCCCGCCGACTCCGTGATAGCCGTAGTCCATGTTGTTCACTTGTTGATTATCTTCGCTCCTTATAAAATACGGAAGGACGTCTCTGTAAGACCAACCGACGTTGCCAAACCTGGCCCAGTCGTCGTAATCCTTGCGGGATCCTCTCATGTATGTCATCCCGTTCATGACGCTGGTGCCGCCGAGGACCTGTGATTTCGAGTTCAACTTGTGTGGAGATCCTCTCGAATAACAAACAGACAAATGCGCCTCATGCAAACGCGGACGATCTCGAGATTGATTCACGAGCGACCGATAGGTGGATTATCGAATTTGCGCTCATAATCTTCCCGGAGCGTTCAATTAAGCCGCGGTTTTAACGAACGACATTACTCCGCCGCTTTCGAATTCTGACGCAACCGTAATTTCAGGTAAGAATCCGCCGTAGTTAGCGAGATTACTCACTGGCGCGTTGAGTGCTGCAGTGAGTTGAAACAAACTGAAACTGTAGTTACTTTTGGCCACAAGGAGGCCAAGGGTTTTCTTACTGATGGAGCGTGCCGGGACCTCTTCGCGAAAACAGAATCCTCACAAAATTTTTAAAAGTTCACGAATAATATTTTTGAAGTTAAGGGCATGTATGCAAAGTTTGGAAACTGCTTTAAAGTTTATTATGTATGCATGAAAATAATATTGTTTCAAGCAGTTCCGTATGCTTTTTCTCCTCTCGTGAGTTAGTTCTTTTTCCAGAAAAAAGTCTTGGCCCCAACCATACTTTTTGGTTGTTCTAATACGACAATGATAATAGTAACATATATATAATGGTAATTATCACAAACATCATAGTAGAATTTAATAAAAAAAATAGTTTGCTTGGCCATAATTTTTGTAATAACAATTTCCACGTGTGATTACAGTTACAAATGCGTACTGAGCATTTTCTCAGTGCACTTACCTTTCCCCTTGGCCAATAACATTGGTTGTGCTCTTTGTTTAGGCATGCCTCGTTCTCGCTTTCGGTATTATACTGCCAGTCGATGTCGCTGCCGATGAAATTGAAGAAGAACGAGGGTATCTGAGTGCCGGTGGGCTCGTCCAGCCCGGCCTCCAGTAGCAACACGGAGAATCTGGGTTCTTCCGATAATCTGGCCGCGACGGTCGCACCTGCGCTACCGCCTCCTATCACCACGAAGTCATACCTGTAAGAGAGACGTTTCCCTTCGCAATGTCGCCGATTGTCCGATATTATTCTTCGAGTCGCGGTATAAGTCGCGAATCCGCTGCGAGAGATTTGCAGAGAAGTGCAATTCTTCTTCTGTGTGCCCCAATTCTATCTATCCAGTCTTCTAACTCGTATCGATATGTGTCCTTTCTTTATTTCGTTTAAGAGGCGGCTAAGAACGCATACGCAGGCTTCTCGCCGACCGGAATTTCACTTACTCTCCTTACCCGCAGAAGATGACGTTTCGAAAGTAAGATTGTCGCGACGCAGAGAAGGTTACTAGGTTTCAGCTTCACGGTGTACGCTCGTTTGCGAAAGGCTGACGTTAATTAGCGACGTCGCGTTATTAGACGATCTTTTACCCGACGAATTAGCTGGCTCGGAGGAGCAACGGGTATTACCTTCATGATGTAATTGACTGCAAGAGCGTGAGCAACCCCCTCTCGCATGTACGCAGCCTGGACCCTTCAAGTGTGAGAAGAGCGACTTTCTCTCGCGAGTGAAAGACTTTTACAACCCTAATGAATCGAATTACAGTTGAATTCAATCGTTCATAACGATCTGAAGCTCTTGTCCTGAGATATCAGCATCTTTGGCGTCCTCAAACTTCGGCGTTCAGATATGAACGACGAGTAACTTTTTGAAATCAGGGACTCATACTCTTCGAAGGACACATATATTTCATCAAAATCTGTTTGTGGGCCAAACGTGAGCATTCTCCTTTGCGCACCTAATATATTACGACGAGTGTCGTGACGCGCCGACGAATTCTTTCAATTTCGCAGGCTACCAGAGTCTGCATGATAGGGACGGTGCGCCCTTTTCTTTCCAGCCGCTGTTCCCTATTCCCTCTCTCTGCCTCGCACATCGGGCGAAAGGTGTGTTTCTCAGGAGGTTGCTCTCGGGACGATCACGAGAGTGTCCACAGTATGCTCTCTCGGTTGAATGCCACGGCGTGAATGTATCTGTATGTATAGCGTGCGGGACAATGACATACTTTTATGCACGGGACTCTGTAGAACGGCGCTCTGGGTCCCGTCGCTCTTTCTTCCATCAGCTCTCTTCTCTCGGTTGGTCTGAGATCGATCGAGTGTCTTCTCTTCTCGCAGATATGTCGTCGCGGAGGATAATCGTTTCAAGCTATAAACGAAGAACAACAAGGGACTCACGCGAATTAATCTGGTAGGATACTGCCGACAAATAGTGGCTTGACCCTTTGGCTTAATTAATGGCTCCATTTGCAGCTTGATTATCGAGATATTTCATGCTGGAAGTTAACGCAATTCCACGTCAATTTCCAAAAGGAGAAGCGAATTCCTTTCATATCGCCTGTAAGGTGATCTAGTCGGGAAACTCGAGAAGCCTTTTTTCTCTTCCTCTAATCATCGATCTACAGTGATTACTGTACTTTTGATGTTAAGAGATAATTCGCCTTTTGAGATAATTTGCAATGACTGTTATCTAACTGGGCATGTTATCATTATGCGTGAGCACGTATGTTATCATCATTCCTCTTGTGCTGGCAGACTGCCTTATTGCCAAAGAGTCGCGTACCTAAGATATAATATTTTGAGGGAGCAGTGATCATTAGATTATTATTAGAAAGTATCCAGCGGATCTATTTCGAAGACGACATTTTTCGGTGATTAGCGAGCGTGAACATGGCGTTTCTTGGGCGGTTTCTTGGGTGTTTTCTTGAGCGTGTAACGAGAATCTTGCGGAGCTTGCGACTTTGTGCGAAACGTGTAAGATACGTATTGAGATACATTAAAAAAAGAAATAACTGTGAGATAAAACTGTGAGATAAGATACTTGCGACGTATACTAATAACATATCTGCTTATATAGGAAATATTTCTCAAATAGGAAAATGTACATAAAATCTTAGTCTTTGAATAGCAATTGTTTACTTATTTAGACACAGAAAAAAAAATTTTAGTTTAGGTAATTAAGTGAGAATTAAACGAAAGATTTTGAAAATCTTCTACGGGAATAATTCCTACAACCGAGTTTTTCATCTGGTCCCCAAGTAACAGAAAATTTAATTGCATTTTTACGGAGTTGCTTTTTCCGCGAATAAAAGAATTGATATTTAAATAAATATATTATTGGTACCCGAATAAATATTTCCTTTACTTTTCAGGTATTTTTTCCTTCAGTTGTATACGTTATTCAAAGTCGTTCTACCTGTCTTTGACGTCTTACATATCGCTGCCTAGTCACCGACATTTTCAAATTCAATATAAGAAAATACATTTCAATTGATTTCAATCTAAATGAAGGAATGTACGACTGGATATCAATAAGCGGCACGTAATTCTGCGTTAGTATCAATGTTTCACGTATTACATCTAATGACTCAGATTCGCTTAATTGTGAGTGGTGACAGGATGTAAGACAGGTCAAGACCCGCTCAAAAAGCGGCGAGCGCGATAAAACCTGTTTCCATCTTTGTAGAACGAGTTTTCATACGGCACGTGTAGCTCTCGTGGAACGTTCTCGTCTTTTTATTAACGGTCGTGCACACTGAGATTTCGCGAATCGTTCGTGAATACGTGACGGGTCACGATGAAATATATCCGCGGTCAAACGACAAGCAGTTGTGCAGAGCGCTCCGACACTGCTGTTGTATTATAATACATGCAAACGAGTGTACATCCACATAGCATACGTAATTTCCTTTGCAGTCCTACTGTATGTACGTCTAAAAAATATAATTCTGTTTTTAGCGGATATCCTCTTGTACACGCCTGAAGAGAGTTTTTCCAAAACCAGAAGGAAAATATTCTAATATCAAAAAAAGATGGATTCTAGTGTTGCAAAATGCTATTTCCGTCAATCCTATATTCTAAAAATTCTTACCGAAAGTCTCTTTCTGTTGAACTAAAAATATTTCTGTTTGACTAAAAATATTTCTGTTTGACTAAAAATATTTAATAGATTTAAGATATTAATCACTTCAACATTTATTATTCATATATTATTTGTTTCCTTCTAAGTCAAGAAGAAAGTGTTGACTTGAAGCAAAATGTTTTCTCATTAGGAGGAATTCCTATGAAGAATAAAATTTATGCTGCAGGTGAAAATTTCCCCAACTTCAAAGGCTTTTCTACGATACGCGAGGTAAACTTGGCGCAAGCTAAAGTAAGAAACAAAAATCATTTATTTCGTTTACGCCTATACTGCAGCCTTCTCATGCCGAAAATATTTCTCTTACTTCAGAGGAAGGAAGATGGAGTGTAGGAGAGACGTAAACGAAATAAATTATTTTTATTTCTTACTCCAACTCTTTCACGTCAAGTTTAATCCGCGTATTGCAGAGCCTTAAGAATATTTCGCTTATAGAACATTTTCCTTTTGGTTTTAGAAGAATCCCTCTGAGACCATATATATAAGGGGATTTTCGCTCTAAAGATGAAATTTTATGTTTTTTTAGATGTACTCTATTTGAATAAATATTCTGTTTGGATAAATCAGCTTTCCAATAATCGTCTACCGTGAAATCGAATTTTCTTATCGACTTCGCAACATATCTTTCCCCACGTTTCTCTAAATAATGGTATTCAAATGTATGCAAAAGTTATACGCGAGATTGAGAGAACGCGGTAGGCATGTGCCACGTGTGAAACGCGTTCGTAGGCATTTCAGAGTTAAGTATTCGAATATTCATTGTCGTCCCGTGCGTTTCTCATACTTGATTTCCGTTGTTCGGCGCGTATCCTGGCGCGTTTCGCTCGCGGTGCTCGCCGCGTCTTCGGGGCTTCCCGCGAGAATTGCTCCTTTCGCGTCGCAGCGAATCCGGCGGCGCAGGTGCGCGGTAGATGCCGCGGCCAGATGTGACGCAACGAGACGCATCGGAACAATGGCCCGCACGGTATTACGTACGTGCGTACAGGTGTAACGACTTCGCGGATAGAGGCGTGCGTGGATGCTCACTTCCGAGAGGGAGGGCGCGCAACGCCAGACGTTCCTACGGTATTACGTGAGAGCGGGACGTGGCTGCGACACAATCGGGACCGCGTTTAGGATTCGTCGTGGAACGCTTCCCGCGGATGCTCTCTTCGCGGAAGAAATCTCTCGTCGATAAGTGACAAGAGATCTCTGGGGAAAGGCGTGCTGTCATTATCTCCAGTGCGTCAACGCGGCAGATGCGTCAGCAAGCACGGACGTAGGAATATCTATCTGAACGTGTTTCCGCGGGATTGAGGCTTTAAGCATTGATCTGCAATGTGCTATTTGCTTCCTGTTTCTTATTCTCTGTCCTTTTCTGGCTTGAGGAAGTGCTGAAGTTGATGACGAACTCGAACAGAGAAACAGGAGGCAAAGAGCGTATTGTAGATTAAGCTTAAGAGGAAAGGGGATTGTAACGGGATATGATCAGCCAAGATGCCATGGGTCTTCGTTCTAATTGTATCTCACTTCTTCGTTCTTCTACCTTTGCAGCCTTTTGCGCAACAGTCAAGCATATTGCGGAAGAAAATGGCACACTTTAGTGCAGACATTGTTCCTGTTTACGAAATACGTAACCTCGAAATGCAGCAATGCCTCGGTTAAAATCACGCCGCGCACAACGCCAAAATAGATCTGGGTCGCGTATTATATATATGATAATTTTAATTAACCAAAACAGCCCCGCGACGGATATTTCCTATCAGTCCTGGAGCTTCACACCCCACGGAGTACCTCTTGTGCCCAGACATTCCTACATTCATGCTGGCAGATGCCATACGCGGCACGAGGAAACGCTTCTCTTCAACGGTAAATTCGAGCCTCTCCTCATATCTCGCCGTGACCTCAGCCGACTAATTAGGCGACGCGAAATAAGGAAGTTACTTTGCGGATTTCTGAATCCCCTTTTATCCGATAACCGTAGATTATTGCGACAGTCAATCGAACGGCATCATCAACGGATGATCGCAGCTTAGCACCGGTTGATTTATAGACATTCCCAACGGGAATTATCGCTCCTTCTCTTTCCTTCTTGGCTAACAAGAGAACCTCATCATATTAAGCACTTGGATTCTATTTTTTTTAAGTTTATTCGATTAAGTTTCTCTTAAAATATTTTCTGGTAGACGCCTTTTTAAGAGCTTAATCGAATAAACTCAGAAAAGTTGGGATCCGAGCCTTCGACTTGACGAGGAGAAATGTTTCCGGCTCGATTCGGCCGAGCCTTCTCCCGCCGGCGTATGTCCCGCTCCGTTTGCATCGTTAGAAATTCATGAGCAGAGAGAACTGGGTATTACTCATATGAATAACACCTACGGCGACTCGGGCGGGTTTCCTCTAGTTACCACGCGATCGACTCGAAAGAAATCAACTCAAAGGTGGGGGTGGTGTCTCTCTATCGTTTCTCCTTCTAGGTTACCCATGACCCATATTCTAATCAAACAACCAACTACTGCCGCGTCCAGAACGGCCTTCGTGAGACTTACCTTGAATTGACATTGCTCGGTGGCGCGGGCCTGTTGCACGGGTCCTCGAGGTCGCACTGGCTGCGTAGGAAGACCTCTAGCAGCCCCATGAAGAGCATGAAGGACGGCCCGCCGCATGTCGAGGCCAACGTGGGCCCCGTTGACGTCGCCAATGGGCAGTTGCAACTCATCTGGAACAGACGTGGTCGTCATCAACGATTGACTCCATTGTCACCGAGAGGCTTGCGTCAAAATAAAGATTTAGATCGGTGCAGTGCTGGCAGTTCGGGAGAATTTTCTCCCGACCGGAAACCTTCTATGCACAGAGTGACAGTAGCAGCCTGATAAGGGGTTCATACTACCCTTTTTTTCCGGCTAAAACTGGAAATTGTTTACATCAGGCTGCTACGTCACTCTGTGCATGCGTAGAAGATTTCCGGTCGGGAGAAAATTCTTCCGAACTGCCAGCGCTGGATCGATATTTTCATCGAAAAGAAATTCGATTGGATCAACCAAATGTCTGGTGACATGTGAGCGAACGAAGAGTTGCTCCAGCTGAGATCACCAGAATTCTGTGTTCGAGTCTCAACAAGATTCTGCGTGACCGAAACGAGATTTCTGGTCAACTAGAACTTGTAACTATTCAAGTTGACCCGGTGAGAGAAAATATTCGCCGGATCTTTATGAGTGTTTCGACACGCTGCTGTCTCTCTCAGATGCATTTAACATTTAACATTTGCGTCCGCGTTAATCCTAATAAGTGATCACTCCTGACTACGCGAACCACTCAAGTCACGAGTGGTCATGCATTTTTACAGAGAGAAATGTCGTTATACCACTAAGAAAAGCGATTACTGTGTTTACTTTCCCCTTTTCAAGTGACGTTTACCTCCAACAAAGAATATTTGATAACAGTCTTCAAATATACTCAAATATACTCACGACAAATTTGAGAAAAGCTCATCATGTACTCAAAAGAAAAATTTGTTTACAAGATTATTATGAGACTTTATCCGAGAAAAGTAGGCAAACCGAATTTTTGTTTCAGAGTTCAATATTGAGACCCACAGGTTCTAAATAAACTTGACGAACCTATGATCGATTTGTGGATAAGTTTACGAAATCCTTGAAACAACTAACATTTACTTGAATATTTTTCTGCATGTACGATTGCGTAAAACTGACATGTAATTAAGTCTGATTAAGGATAGCCGCGATTATTATATAATTATGGATTGAAGCGCAGTTATTCGTCGACGATCGTTCTCTCCCCAGTTCTTCTTGGGGATAATTTTAATTGATATTTTTGCCTCTCTACACTCCCGTACACTCAGCGGGAGTGGGAAGAGAGGCCTCGTTTCACGCCGCGAAAAGGGCTAGGGGCGAGGAGAGGGCATGAGCGCAATATCCACTTCGGCCGCAGAAGCCGCGGTATCTAACGATATCCCTTGACCGGCCATGCACCGGTGCATCTGCTCCACCGAGAGCGCATTTATCTTCGTTCCGGTGCACCGCCGGCGGACCATGAAGCGAGCTCTCCGCGCTGGAAAACAACAAAAGCTGAACGAGAGTGAGAGCGCGCACATACTCGGCCGCCGTCGACGTCGTCGTCGTCGTCGTCGTCGTCGTTGTCGTCACGAACATGTAACAGAGTGTGTCCAGCCGTAAACTCATTCAGCTCTATCGGACGATTCAGGAGGTGCGCGACTCCTCTCGATTGTCCTTCTTACGGCTCACACGTGTTCTCCTCGGAGAACACGCGTGTTGCCGGTGAAACTTTTTCCCCTCTTTCTCTCGTCCGCCTTTGCGCCGCGTGTTTCCTCTTCCGACACTTCTCACAGAGGCCGGGGCGCGTAATCGCACGAGGACGTAACGCCTCCTCTCGAACGGCCCGCGATTGCGAGTGAGGCGCGCGATGATGCACGCTCTAATTTCCGGCGCGCGCGAGAGCGACGACAGACGTGAAGGAAGAGTTGCGAGAGAGAAAGAGAGAGCGTCATGTGCGCCGTGAATTGTCTTCTTCTCGAACAAGAGTGCCTTCGGTGCCAAGGACTACATCGTGAAAGACTGTCGATGGCGCTCGCGACATTCAAGAGAAATACGTGACCTGCACTGTGCGCTTGCTTAATTACATCCATGAGATAATAAATGACGTATTCCGCGCAATTTGTATTTTCTCCTCTCGTTCTCAAAGTTAACACGTTTTGTACATGGGGAAAACGTGAAGATCACGTTAAGATCACATTTTGTTTTACAATACTTTTGGTGAAGCTGCACCATATAAAAAAAAACATTCAAGTAATTACACAGCAATTCACAGTAATTCGTAAAACCTCAAACATGCGTAAGATATTCAACTAGAACGCCTAACACATTTTGACCCCGTCTTCTTGTTGTCGCTATTTCCTTGTGGTTCGAGAAAAAAATATCTCGTGACTTTTGATTATATTCTTAAAATGTTCAGAAGTTATTGATACAAACAGTGAAGGAGAAGAGAGATTTTTAAGATTGAAATCGCAAGAAATTAAAATGAATTTTCTGGGTATCCAAAGGGGGTTGTAGTTCCCGGGCATTCTGGTGTTAAGCAAGTACATGTAGTCACAATTTCAGTCGCAATTTCTGCACTTTCAAGATTACAAAATTTTGCCGCTCTTTTCACCGTCATATTTCCTCCGTACAAAACGACGAACTCGCAATCGAATTTTCCCTGAAGAAGGTCGAGAAGGAACAGGAGGTGCCTTTTCAAGAAAATGAATTGGAAAACCGTTTTCCTTCGGCAAAGCTGATGTTCCGCGTCGAGGTGGTAGAACGAATTCCTCAACTGCTAATTTCCGTCCATCTCTAAAGGCGGCAAGACGCGTCGCGGTATTGAAGACGCATGAATATACATGACACGTGGGGCAGGCCAGTGAATAGATAAGGAAAACAGAAAAAGAAGCTGTAAAATTGCATGACTTTCGTAATCGGCGGCACGAGACAGTGCGCGGTTCTCGGTCAGTGAACGTAACGGTGTCGACTCCGAAGGAGCGTACATACTCGCGGAGCGTAGCCGTCGGCGCGCTCGCACCATTGTAGAGAAGTATCGCAATGTCGTGCCAGCACAGCTGGTTGTACACTGAAATTATCCGACACAAAATCAACAAACGGATATTTCCGATCAAAATACCGATGAATTTTCATATCCGATTTCATAATCCGACTAAATTTAGTCGGATACTTCCGATTATAATGGCACACGGAAAAAGAGGTTTGGTTGAATTAACCAAATATCTGATCGAATATAAACGATCCAGAAATTCTGATTGAAGTAACCCAAATTCTGTTTAAGTTAACAAGATTTTTGGTTGACTTAAACAGAATTCGGGTTATTTCAATCGCAATTTCTGGGTCGTTCATATTCGACCAGATATTTGGTTTTTTTCCGTACACATTTCTCATTGGATGTTTCGGATACAAAAATTTATCGGTATTTCGACCGGAAATATCCGTTTGTTAACTTTTTATCGTATAATTTCTCTCGGTGTAATAAACAGGGTTCGGTGATCGAACTGCGGAAAAAGGAAGCTCGCTTTGTTGTTACATTGTTTGGTGAAATCAGGATGTCGTGAAGGAGTCGGTGATTTTCTGGTTGACTTTCCAACGGGACAATTAATTTTCTCGCTCTCTCGATCTCTGCACTTGATTACCCTCGAAATATGAAATGTACAGCCGATTTTGTAACGTACAGATATTCACACACGCACGCACGTGTATATATATATATATATATATATATATATATATATATATATATATATATATATACACATAAACACACCACGTAACGGTAGTTTTATTCATTATGGACTCGACGCGATACAGCTCTGCCGATTAATTTGCACGCCGTTCGTAGGATATCGGCGATTTTCGAACAAAATGGAAAATCACGACGAAGATAATTTTCAATTTTTTAGACTAATGGAACTATCGTTTTGCGCAACTCCACCACCGTCGTGCGTGCATTGACCATTGAGAAATTGCTTTTTATTCGCGCCGCCGCCAGTTCCTTCGCGCGCAATCCCGGAATGCACTTTGCTTCTCATTTCGCGCAAATTGTTCTCGCTACGCAGTGTGTAATGACGAGAGGCTGCTGCCTTCCTCCCGCGAATTCGTTCGTCGAGCTTCATTCATCGTTCGAGTAACTTTCTTTGCGCGGGTAAACTGTCAAATCTCATGTAACTCTATTTTGAAAATTTGCGAGGATTTCGACTTTATATATAAATACTAACAATAAATACTTTTGTAGGTATCCTACGATCTATCACAAAAGATAGAGCGAATAAGAATCCCGAACAAAAAAAGGACCTGATCAACCTCATTAAATAATGCACCAGGTTGCAATATTAAGATCATAATATAGATTTAATTATTATAATCTCACGATCTTTTTTATTCAGTTGTCATCAGAATATTATAAGGTATACTATATTTCGGATTACCTTACATTTACCCAAGCAAGTGCTTGTCAATATCAGGTGTGCCTGATCAAAATTTCTAGTCGGGAATTGTCATCTGCACAATGCGTCGACGCGTCTCGTGCACGCTTACATTGAGAAAAATATTTAAAAAATTAACAAATCTTATTAAGTGAAGAAGATTCTTTTTATTTAAACTGAGTATTGTTCACTTGAATCGAGTAAATGAGAAGAATTTTGATTTTTTGGGAATATGTTAATGCTACCTAGTAAATATCTGTTAATTTTTAGATATTTTTTTCTCAGTGCAACAATATGGATCGCAGAGAGCTTTGCGGTTTTACAGGACGCAACGACGTGTAGTTGCTGTAAAACCACCGTACAAATGAGGGTGTTAATCGGAAATTACGTAACTGGCAAAACTTAAAACGCGCGCGCGTTAACAACGTAATCACCGCATAATATCGTTTCTCTCAATTACGTCGGCACGCTTCGATTCGCGAAAATGTGGATATTACACGGCGCGTTACATTGCCGTCCCGAGCTGCTTTACTGTGCGTTAATTTTCCTACTTTTCTCGTCGTTTCGAGTATTTATGTCTCGGGCGCGGCGAGTACTTATGTCTCGGGCGGGACTCGCCCTCGTTATCGTAACGCGTTATTGATTACATCGCCTTCAGTAACGGCGCGTTCATGACGATCGTAAAACGGACATCCGGCTCTTTCCGGGGCGGTTCTAATTCCAATTTTTACATAATTGTAGGATACTCGGCACGAGCCAGTCGGCTCGGCTTCGCGTGAATATAAAATAAGACATCAGTTTCTTCCATACACGCAGCCGGATATTAGCCCAATCGTATTTTAATGAACGTACGAGAACGCGAGGCACTTACCGCGAAGTAATTTACACATTTTCTTGTAATATCGGCTCTCGCGAGCCGCTTGTCGTATGATTAATTGCTATTTCCATGGCTCTTAGAGGTCTCGTTACATGCAATCACGGGCGTGACAATACTAATGACATCTTTGTATTTTGCTGTCATACGGAAAAACGAGAGACTGACTCGATCTAGCGTGTCTCGCATATAAATCGTGCAGCATGTGAAGCGTATCTTTCCCGTTTCATTTCATTTCATTTTTTAATGATTCTTTGAATGAGACGTCTTCTCTCTCTCTCTCTCTCTCTCTCTTTGCTTTTACTTTATTATTACAATACATTTATCACTTACTTTGTTATTACATTACATTACATTACATTATTTACTATTACATTTTCGCTACCAAGAAATAGTTTTTCTTGTGTAATGTATATTTGTGATTCTTTGTGGAAAGGAGAGCACTTTGTCCCATAGCGATTGATAAATGATGCTTCTCTCTTTCTCTCTCTCTCTCTCTCTCTCCTTCTTTCTATTTACTGATATTTTCTTCTTTTCTAATAATTACGATTATTTTATAGTGTTGAATTCACATTTACTATATTACTTCTCATTATATTATATATGCATGTAGTTCACATACCAATTTTTTTGTAATATATTTGGTTAGTCTATATACACTCCCGATTAAATATGTTAATTCTATTTTACTGCTCAATGCGCCTTACTGGTATCTTCTCTGTACTCAATATGCATATCTTATTTTCTAATACTTTTCTGCGTATTAGAGAGATTGGTTACTTCTGACTCCCCAAATTGCTAACTTCATTGTACATAATCCGCCACCTATTATTCGACTCACTGTAAACTCTGGAGTGTTTTAGACTCCAGGAGGTCTCGATAAACTACCTTCCTCTCTCTTCTCTTTTACCCTCTCTCTCTCTCTCTCTCTCTCTCTCTCTCTCTCTCTGTTCTTAAGAAATTCGCGAATAATTAGCGCATCCCGCGAGACTCTGGCACAGGAGAAGCGAGTCGGAAAGACGCGGCAACATTCACGCGACACGATAGCAACTTAATGTTTCAAGGGAAAGGTAGATCGATTCGACGACGGCTTAATGCCAAGGTACACGTTTAGCGAATTAATCGCTCGACTCGTGCATCGGCCGGCGGGTTTTATTCCAGAGGAGAATCCGCCAATTGATCGAGCCGCGAACGGGCGGTACATAATATACATCAAATGCACGAGAGACGAAGACGTGCCTTTCACTTGTCTTCTCGTCGGCGGACGGATACACGAATATTTATGCACTTGCAAACGTTTTTTGTGAGCTATTACGTGACTCCTCGACGGCGCGCGCCACTCCGCAGGCTCCGCTCGTCCATCCACACAAATTTTTATACCTCTCGCCGGAGTGTCGCACGCGAAATAACGTACACTCAGTGGAAATTTAAGTCTACGCCACCCCGATGTGCTCAGCTACGACCGTCCCCGCGAACATCGATCGAAATTTGTACGCTCTTAGTACGCGAGAGTATTACGAGCCGAACGACCGACTAGGTTATCAATTGAACTTCCGTTGTGACGATAATTAACGCTCGCGCGCTTCTTGTCAGAAAGAAAGAACTGTCTTGTCGTCTTTATCGATTGCTCTATAACGCGCGTAAACCATTATTTTCCGCGACGGCGACGTCCGGCTCGTCGAAAATTGCACCGGTCTCAAGGCCCGCGGTTCGACGGTTGGGGGGAAAAATAAAGAGCGGAGGGAACTCACCTTTCAAGGATGGCCAGCCCGTATCCTTCGGACGATAATTGCTGGGACGGCGCACGACGAGATACAGGGAGGAGCGCGGCCAGAAGTCGCGAGAGAACCGTAGCTCGCGGTACCGCGATCAACGGCCGACTAGACCGGTACCATTCCCCATCGCCGTGGTAATATTCGACAACCTCCACCACCTTTCTCGCCGTCTCTCTTCTGCTTCTCTGGCGGAGGCGGTTTCGGCGACTTCTCGCACACTTCTCCACGGCTGACTCCGTTACAGGAGATTCCGCGATGATGGCACACGCAGGATCGGCAGGCGATGACATCTCGTGAGCGATCGAACGCTCTCTCTCGAGCGTGTTTTCAACGCTGACAGGATAATCCTCGGGTCATTTGGGACATTGTCTCAGATTCTCGTTTTCACTCATCGTATGAAGGGGAGAGACTGAATTAGACAGTCAAGCATAAGGGATTCAAATGACCCGTATCCGACGTTGGTGCGCGAGAAAATGCATCTACTTGGAATGACGTGTAACAATTGATGCAACCCTCCGCTTACAATGTTGGTCCCGTGAGACCCGAACGGACATTCGCGGAGGGAAAGTTCGATTGCAAACTTTCGTAAGGAGTACGGGTACAATTCAAGGTATGCACTGAGAAAACAATACTTACTTCACCTTTGCGGGACAAACATTTACTTCACAGAGATACATTTTTATTTCACAGGCGTGAGCTTTACCTCGCAGAAATAAACTTTATCCTTTTATTAACTTTTATCCTCAGTAAATGTTCAAATATTTCTTTTCCAATGTAGCGCAAATCTGTTTGCAGATCTCGATTTTATCGCGCTACTATCCCGTATTCGAGACATATCTCTGAAAGAAACACGCGCAAAAGTATCGATTTTCAATAAAGTTGTGGTAGCTTAAAATTGCGGTCTGACCGGTCTGTCCTAAAAGGATATGATCGGATGGTTGAACCAAACGCACGTTTCCTACGATGGAGCTCTTTCCCAGCCGAATTGTTCGATTATTATTATCAATTATTTGATTATTTGATTATTTGATTATTTGACCTAATTATTATTATTATTCTTGTAAAATGATAATTACTCGGGTAGTAAGATAACGTCAAAAGACATCTTAATGACGTATTATTGACGTTAGAAACATCATTGGGACATTACTAATACGTCATTCGACGTCATCCTGCTACCTGCCACAGTTGCGGAATAATTGGTGCAAACGCGAAACTTTCCTCATTGCAAGACTGATAACTAATTATACGGTTGTCTATTTAGAGATGTGTGCTGTCTGGGTTCATATATACTATTTACATCTTGGGAAATGAAATGTGCTATTGAAACACTTGCTATGTTTTTAGCAAAATATTTCTTAGCGAAACAGACCTTACAGACAGCCTCCATTCGTGAACCACTAAAAACACAGTGAAATTGAAAAGAATTTGCATATGAAAGAAAACTACAATATTTTCTCCAGAAATGGAAAGAGGTTTCAACTTGAGAAGGGACGGGAAGCAGAAAACGCAGTGTCCGCGAGCTGCCTTCGATCAACTCGTCCGATACAGCCAATTTGCACGCAAGAAGCGAAGATTTCGTGCGGAGTAAATTCAATTGTCACAGCACGATTGTAAACCATTCTCCGCGCGCATGCCGTTGCGTTTTTCACTGCACATTGCGTACCCCACCCAGTCTGATACTCGCTTTCGCGAGTTTCGGCGTTCACAAACGAACGAACTCATCTGTGAAATATAGCGCCTCGGGAAAGGAAGGAAGGAGCAAACCCATAAAATTTGCGCTCGATTAGCGGTACCATTTCCCATCATGATCCCGTCGTCTCGATGCCGGCTGCTAACGTTGTCGTAGCCCATAGTGACTGTAATATTCGTCGTATTCCTCGTTTTTCTGCTCATTATCGCCGTAGGTACGATAGGGCGACGTCTCGTAGAGAAACATCGGACGTTCGTTCCTCCGCCCGTCAAGCTCGCCGAATGAAAACGTGGCCGACTGAAACCGAAAATCGCAAACCGGTTTACGCCTTGTTCTTTCCTCTCTCTTTTTTTCCCGCGCAAGTCATATAACGCGAGAGATATAAAGACGCAGACACGCTATTCTCCCGCGACGCACACGTGATTTTACCTCCTGATCCCGTGAGATGTCGACAATTTGGTCCAGAGAGGATCCTCGGTGTCCTTGCCTGGACTTATCGGTCTCGTGAACGGCTATCGTGCCGTAAGGATAATTTACAAGGCTATGATGTTCCTCATCATCCTCAGAGCTATAATCGTCGCGTCCGGTCGGGACGCGGGATGGTCTTGGATTGGGTGTCGCAAGATTTTTAATGGGTTTATATGCGAGTTGTCTATCAGAAAACCGATCTTTGTTTTCGTGCGCAACTCGACCCTCGCCGAGCCTTTCAGCCCACGTCTCATTTCGGCCTACGGATGTAATAAACGCACGTTGTACTCGAACATTGTAATCAGCATAATAATCAGCGTAAAATCACTCTTTTTGTTGTATTAAACGGATATTCCGTTTCGTCGTCTATTCCGAAATATTTAAAGATACATAATCTTAATACCCGAGAAGACCCAATGAACGCCAATTAATATTACAACTTCCCATTCGACGATGTAAATGCAATATAATGCACGTGTTATGCGACAGTTGCATTATTGAGTGGGAAATTATAACATTGATTTAATGTCATTGTTAGTTAATGTTTACTGGAATAAATCAGTATTATAATTTCCCACTCAACAATGCAAGTGTAGTATAACACGTCTTAAGTGTTAAGTGACAGTTACATTGGCTGCATTCAGCAGACTCAACAATTGCACAACAGTTGAGTAATTTGTCAATGTAATTGGTCTAGATTTAGGGATCTAATAGCAAGAACCAATAATCGTTGATTGCTCACTGAGCGCTTTTTCTACTGAATGCGCCCATTGTTGAGTGGGAAATTATAATATTGATATACACTGAGGGAAAAATTATCTTAAAATCAATAAATATTTTTTTGATGGGTGCCATTAACATATTTATTTAAATCTAAATTCTCTTTATTTAAATTTTTTTAAAATATTGTTTATCTGATTTAAGTAAACAATATTTGGTTTAAATAAAGAGAATTTAGATTTAAATAAATTTTCCTCAGTGTAGTGTTTCTTGAGAAAGCTTTGGCAAATTGAACATTCAAGTCGAGTGATATTAAAACATTTCACTTTGGCTTTAAATTATTTTGATTTCGCGATTCTACACAAAGAGAACGATTTGGTTGAATCAAATAAACACTTATTTGGAATAACCCAAACGGATTTTTTGATTGACTGAACAAAATTTTATTTGACGCAACAAAAATATTTATTTGCGGCTTAATTCCAAAGAAATATTTCTGTTGTGTCGACTAAAAAATTTATTTGAACTATTCCAAAGAAATATTTATTTAATTCAACAAATCGTTCTCTCTCTCTCTCTCTCTCTCTCTCTCTCTCTCTCTCTGTGTGTACCTTTCCTGAATATGGAAAACAATATATTATCAAAATTATTCTCACGCGAGTTACCTGTCGCAAACTCGTCGGTGGCAGATGTAAGCTCTTTCTCGTGGACGAACTGCGGCACGCTTCTTTCCAAGTAATCGCGAATCACATACCACGGCCGCCACTCGTAATCCTGCACGGTGCGGGCGATGGAATAAATAATAGCTGTCAGCTCCACTCGCGAAGAATGAAAGAAGAATCACAAACAGCGATCGTTCGAAGCATACTCACGTCATAGTAACTGTCCGACTGTCTGTCGCGAATATTCGGCGTAACAACGTCTGCTTTCATCGCGCGGAGTTTCGCATAATCGCCGGACGAGTCATCGAAATGATTTGTTCTGAGGTTTCCCATCTCGACAGTTGCAGTAACATTTGTATCATTGCTAATCCCGTCAACTACACTTGCCGGATCATTATCCATTTTTGAATTTCCCGTTGTATCTGAAGCGGTATTGGAGCGTGATTAGATGCATAAAAACGTTCTTTGAGCCTTGAAGCGCTTAAAGAAGACCTATGATTGATTTACACGGCGCTTCAAAGTATTTATAACGTTTTATAAAGCGCAGCCTTAGTCGAATGTGGAGAGTTTGTCAAATCGAGTCTAAAATCTGATAGCAGAGTGTAGGAAAAAGCGAGAGATCGATCATACCCTGAGAAAAAGGAAATACTCACGGAGAAAAATAATTTGCTGGCTCAGCAAGTTTTCCGCTAGTCTAGCAAATCTTTTCGTTATTATATGGTTATATTATATCGTTATTATACTTTTAGCAAAAAGATTTGCTAAGAGTACTAATCACTATGTGCTGGATATAATTTGCTAAAGCTAATTATTTTACTGTAAGAACCATAATGGATTTATATAAGCAGTTACAGTTTTGCTCCGATAGCAAATAAATTTGCTAAGGATATATTATTTTGCATCGACAGCAAATTAACGTGATTCTTAGGATAAATACACAACAAATTTTTTTCTGGCAACGAAACTACTTCTGCTTTGATAACGAATAATTTGTAAAATTAGTTACGTTAACAAAATTTTTTTGCTGTCATTACGAATATGCAGTAGCAATAACGATTTTGCTAAAAGAGCAAAATTATTTTTCTCCGTGTAGTGTAAATAGTTTGTCGACATATGGGACAATGAATGATCCCATTGTGGTAACAAATTTGTCACCTTCAATTTTTCTGCTTTAAGCGACACTTCTGTAATGAAGACACTACTAACTTAATCGAAATAGACGAGAGTAATTACGATTTGTATCTCAAGCAATATGTGCTCGTTAAAATGACGAATAATTTACAACGGCAACTGTTCGATCTATTTCATCAACAACAGCAAACGCGCTTTCGTTCTGATAACCGAGGGATTTTTCTCAGTGCAAAGATCAGAAATCTAATAATCCACACACTATAATTAAATAGCCTTTAACGAATATCAGAAATAATAAATCTAATAATCTAATGATCTATACGCTATATAATCAAACAGCCTTCAGTGGCGATTAAAGACAGGTTTAACCGCGATTAACCGTAAAGCCAGGCAAAACAAAAAGTCACGATGACGTCAAATTGATGCTAGAATGACGAGAGAGCGACGAAAAGACTCACTTTTCAATCACGACTTGACCGTTCTCTCGTCATTTCGACGTCGTCATGACTTTCTGCTCTACTTGAGAGTACCTCGAGACGGAATTTCTTCCAAGGCCGCTTCGTTAAAGGAGTGATCAAGCGCGTAAGTGAAAAACGGAGGTAGCTGTCCTCGTCTCGTGTCCTCGACGAAGATCACCGGTTCGTATGGCGGTAATAAAATCCTATAAGGCTCCCGCGGTGCGTAGTACGTCCATCCACTCTCATCCTCGTTTTCCACCGCTAATGCTGCCGTACGATGTAGCTCGCTCTCTGTCCAGATCGGATAGCCTTGTCCGACTAAGTTAATACCCTCCAACACCACAGGAAGCGACAGCACAGCGTCGTCGGCCGCTATGTAGATCTTCTTCAGCAGCTTTAATCCCGTTGTCGTGTTGCGCGCAGCAGTAGATTTAAATCTCCGCTCCGTGAACGGGGTCGCCGGGAGACTCGAGTTCCTCGACCAGCCGGAGAATCTCGGAGTGGTCTGAAAAAAGAACTTGAATGTTAGAACGGCCCATCTCGAAAATTGTATCTGTGCTCGAGAAACAGGAGGATGTAAGAAACGTGAAACGCGTCTCGTTTAAAGTTTCATTTGCAAAAATTTTACCTGCGCTTAAGGGGATGCTGAAGTCGATGACGACTCGAACAATGTCGATAATGCAGAGACGATCCTCACTAACATAATCACGCTATACTTTTCGTATTTCTTGTATATATAGAATTTATATAAATGTGTATTGTTTTGTTTTATCATATTCAACGGAAAACCTAACTATATATGTGTAGAAATCTTTCTGCAAACTTTTTCGACATTTTTAAGCTTTCAAATGCAGATGCGAAGGTAGAGAAATGTTCTTCAAAATGTTTCTGTTTGGAGCATCCACACTTTCGGTATGTACAAGCTGCGGAACTTTTGGATTAGACAAATATTATTCTAACTGACAGCTTGAGATTTTACATTAAAAATTTTTTGCTCGTTTTCGTCACATATCAAGCAATGCTCCTATTTATTTTTGCACGTACGTTCATTGTGTAAAAGCATTTGTAATTCTGTGTAACCAATACGACGTAAACTTTGTAGAATAATGTCAGTATTCTGTCGGTAAAGTTTTCAGCCACAGCATCCTCTTTAGATCACGAAAATTTTATTTTGATCTCGAGATCACGAGCTCGTCTTTCGGCAATTACCTCCATCCAAACGGCTACTTGACTAATTGAATCAATTAAGTACCGCGTGAAAGTCGATCTCGTCTGTAATCTTCAATCCGTTGTTGGTGGTGCTCGTTGTTAATAATTCATCGGGATTCGACCAGGATCGAGGGTGAGACATGGAATGTGGTCGGGTAGACGATGATGCATCTGGTGGCTCGATGATGGAGCTTGATTTCGTCGTGGTCCGCTGATGAATCAGCGAAATTTCCGTCCCGTGCACAAAAAGAATGCAATCATATAAATTTCCCATTGCACAAAAAAAAAACGCAATCATATAAATCAGCAGCGACAGGATTTCGAAAAGCTTTGTGTAGATACATGTGCGTATGTCTATGAATATACTTATTTTAATATCGATAAGAGTGACAGAGAAGATACACTTTTGTAATTAATCTCTTACTGGGATGTTGTGTAATCTGTTTGCTTCCTCGTTGAAGTCGCCGGGGAAGTTGTCTGAAATCACCAAATAAAACCTCTATCGAGCTTTGGCATTTACATCTTCCATAAGCCTTCGAGACATTCATGAGAAAGTACGTCACCTTTTTCCTCGTGATTGGATAACGTGTCGGCGTGTTCATTTCGCGTCTCTCCGTTTCTTGATGGGTCAACCCGGTTCCGATTTGCATCAGGGTCCTTTCAGTCTACGTTTATTTCTATTAGTCTCTCTATCCGCGTATGTTCTCCTACACGTCTCAATATTCGCGATAACTTCACGACAAATTCATCAGCACGAGAGTGTCAACGTGGAACTCGAAAGAAAAAGAAGACTTGATCGTATATTATTTAATATTTTTAAAATATTTAAATTTTTCTTAATATTTTTAAAAAATTACAACATTAATTATTTTTAAAACATTTACACGCTTATATTACACGGAGAGAAGATTACAGTTTTTCTTTTATTCCTCAAATTTCTTTGAACTTTACTATGTTTTCAGTAAAGCAGACTATCAGTAAGATATATTTTTCTAAAGAATATAGTAAGTTTTGCTAGAAATGTAGCAAGAATTCTAATAGCACATTTCAGTTTCTAAAACAGAAGTAGCACATATGGAATGAAAGGACGGTGAAATTAGCAGAATGTCTATTCCTCGATTATAAAATCCTATAATAATTTTTACTATAGAATTCTCTCCTCGTGTACAATTATTTACCACTATAAAAATTGCCAAGTCTTCTTTTCTTCAAAATTCACAATGAATTTAGCGCTATTATTTAGAGAATGGACTACCTTGTTATTTGCAGATGTATCGTGCTCGAATAAGTTCGTAAATACGGTGAGGGGTCGGCAGGATCTCTCTGTGGCACAATTGAAGCCCCTGCACGAACCTACAATTCGAACCACACACTTCTGCATTGGCGGACAGACCCAGCCGCGGCAGTATTTACTGATCAGCTCTTCTTCTGCAAATCGAAAGATCCGATTTATCATTATAATCATAAATTGATTTGATCGTTTATCATCTGGCGCAAACAGACCAGTGGTCAGAGTACAATCAGGTGTGTGCGCGCACGATGTGTCAAGACAATTGTTGTCCGGTTTTCGCAGGAAACACTCGTACTCCGAGAGGCAGTCCATAGCTTTGCATGTGTCGAACCAGATCTGCACGTCTGTGTACGGGAAAAAAAAAGCTTGTTTGGATTAGCCAATAGTTTCTGGTGAACTATGAACGATTCAGAAATTCCCGGTGAAGTTATTAAAATTAACAAGATTTCTGGCTGACTTAAACAGAATTCAAGTAACTCCAATCGAAATTCCTGGGTAATTCATATTCTAAAAATTTGATTAATTCAACTAAATTTTCTCTCCATGTGGATTTATAATTCATGCATAAATTTGGAAATTGTGTACCTCCAAATACAACCAATACTTTATAACTTCTCTCCCTCTCTCTTTGATAGTGAAAATAATGCGAATAAAATAAAACGTGTCGCATGGAGGAACGTGTTATGAACATAAATTAAATTGTATTTTCAGTACTTGAATTGTGTGACCTTTTGACTTGTCGCAGCTCCTGACGAGTTTGCAGGGTGGATTGACACAATGTGATTCCCGCAGGATACAACGATTTCCCTCTGGACACTTGAAGCCCGCGCAGGAAGCCGCTCCCTCGTGATACTCCTTCTCTGATATGCAACGCGCAATCTGCTGCTGGCATTCTAAACAGGTTTGCGCAACCCAATCACCGTATATATATTAGTCGCAATGCTTAGAAATATAACTAATATTCCTCTAATATATACGCCAATTACTTTCGTCCCAACGACATCCTCGAACTCTAACGACGCATATGTGTCCGCTGCTGCAGCGCACGGTGTCGCAAGTAAATGGCCCCTTCAATAATTCTAAAGCAAACGAATTGGCCGTGTCAAATTGATCGATTTCGTCGAGCGAAACGGTACTTACAGAGAAAAACAAGATAATATCGAAAAGATGCATGTTACAAGAGTGAACTGGAGGAGGAATCGGCTGAAAACGAGAGCGAGACAATGATCGACGCGTTTTCCTCGGGTGGCCTCACCGTTCCTGGACTTAAAACAGTACAACATGCCCGGACAAGGCGGATTCTTGCACCAGAATCTCCGTTTGATGCATCGGCTGCCGCTCTCGCACTGCAGATGAGCGCATCCCTTCGAGTATTCGCGTCCTGCCTCCTCCGCTATAAATTCACACAATTTTTATACAATTAAAAAATACGAAAAAAACTCTTTTTGAAGAACAAACAATAATTAAATAAAGGGCCTATAAGAGTTCAAGCGCAGCTGTTTTAGTGCAATAATACTAATATACATTAGTGACACTCCTCTCTCATTTGAGAGGATATTTTATAACAAAGGAACGATGCAAAGGAAATTGCGATTATTGTATATATATTGACATTTTTTTGATTGCAACTTCTGTGACAAACTTCTTATGTATTTATTATTGTAAAATTTAATTTACCACTGAGGAGGATCTGTACAGTTACACCGAAACGCGTATAGTTCCTTTGTTAATAAAATATTCTCTCAAATGAGAGAGGGGTGTCACTAATGTATATTAGTATTATTACACTGAAACAGCTGTGTTTGAACTCTCATAGATCTTTTATTTAATTATTGTTTGGTACAATTATGCCACTCGACGGAGACTTGTGGAATTTGTGATTAAGACTCACCGCTCGTGTGAAAGCTTGCGGAATACAGAGGGAAGAAAATTAAAACCAGAATTAAAACCAGAATTAAACGCCAGACGATAAAGATGCGTCTCATGACGATAGACTTGTGTTTCAGCATTCATGTGCCGCGGCGACACGTAGTGGCAGGTGTAATGTAAGCGCGATTGTAACGAGAGCTGTTGCATAAGAGAGTATATCGTCAATACAACGATTGTTAGTAACATCATTTCCCGTTGGATCCGAGTGTGACTAAACTGGTGGAAATTCAATGCTTATCCTAAGAGAAATTACACAATCAGAGATTAACAAACAGATATTTTCGATCAAAATACCAATGGATTATATCCGATCAGAATATCCGATTAAATTTAATCGAATGCTTCCGATTATAATAACATTTCATCAGATAAACCAATCAAAAATTTATGAACCGATATTTCTCATCGCATATCTCCTAATCGGATACAAAAATTCATCGGCATTTTGATCAGAAATATCCCTTTGTTAATTTTTTATCAGATGATTTATCTCAGTGCATGTGAGTCTTCAATTTCTAAATCTAACGTTCTCTCCTTGCAATCAGGAAGCTTTTTCCACGTTCAGAAAAGGTAATTGTAGCCTCAAATTTAACGAATCCGACAGATTTGTCGAATCTGCTGTCTTTGGCGAGTCCGACAAAGTAATAATCAATAATGCCGACAGAATCTGTCGATAAGGAGTACGTTAACAATCACTCAATAACGTCGATGAGCTTGTTCACTGAGGATGCGGGCGTAATGAGGATTTTCAATATAGGTACGCTATATATAAAAGAAGTTTCGATGTGGAACTGTGTCGTGCAGTCTTAAATGTTGCATGTAGACACTAGAGTCTCGTAACATAATCCACGCTTACTATAATCAGCAGAATCAAGGTTTTTGCCGAGAGCGAACAGACTCGATTTCTCGCGTTGCGTGTCGACCAGAGCTCGACTGACGAACGTTTTTCGAGCGCGACTCGAAGATTGTGAGCATCAAGTACCGATTCCACGTTTTGCTAGCCACACTTCAGTGATTAATCAATTTGACCTACTGCTCGATCGATCTGACTCTACACGGAGAAAAATAATTTGTTGGCCCAGCAAATTTTCTGCTGGTCTAGCAAAATCTTTTCGTTATTATATGGTCAGCAAAAAGATTTGCTAAGAGTACTAATCACTATTTGCTGGATATAATTTGCTGAATCTACAAATTATTTTGTTATAAGAACCATAATGGATTTATATAAACAGTTGCAGTTTTGCCCCGATAGCAAATAAATTTGCTAAAAATACATTATTTTGCATCAATAGCAAATTAACGTGATTCTTAGGACAAATACACTCAACAAATTTTTTCTATTCTGGCAACGAAATTATTTTTGCTCTGATAACGAATAATTTGTAAAATTAGTTACGTCAACTAAATTTTTCTGATGTCACTATGAATATACAGTAGCAACGACGATTTTGCTAAAAGAGCAAAATTATTTTTTTCCGTATAAGAATACGGTATTGCTCTTGTGTCTAAGGGGATACTGAAGTCGATGACGAACTCGAACAATGTCGATAACGCAGAGGCAACTGTCGATAACACGATTACGCTATCTTTTTTGTATTTTTTAAGGAACTTACTTTTTGTATTTTTTAATAAAACTTACGTGTTAACGTGTTAATCTCTCTCTTTTTCTCAATATATTAAATATGTTAAATAAATATCAAAATAATACTTTTATATCTATTTAATATTTAATGTTCATAAAAATATTAAGTAAGTTAACTATACGCGTTTTGCCATATTCAGCGGAAAACTTAACCACGCATATGTAAAAATCTTTCTGCAAATATTTCGGATATTCTTAATTCAGATGCGAAAAGGTACAATATAAAAATTTTCTATTCCACACTTTTGGTATATAAAAGGAACTTTTTGGATCAGACAAATATTACGCTAACAGCTTGATATTTTATATTTAATATTTTTTCCGTTTTTATCACATATTAAGCAATGCTTCTATTTATTTTTGCATGTACCTTCATTGCATAAAAGTATTTGTAATTTTATACAATTAATACGACGTAACCTTTGAAAAGTTAGTATTCTGTCGGTAAAGTTTTCAGCTTTAGTAAATGCGAATATAATTATTGCTGTAGTAAAATATTCACAAGTCCGCGCGGAACTTCGAGTTCGATTTAGGCCTTAGCCTCGCGCGCTCGTAACGACTATATTCAAATCGAATTAAATTATTTACGACCATAACGAAATAGATACCAAAATCGAGAGACATTAATATCTACTGATTCTGACTCTATCCCCTTCTCTCTCTTCGCAAATGCGCAAATTATTGACGTAATTTCCTCGAAAAAAAAGAATAATGTGTACTATGGTAGTAAATTGCTCATTAAAAAGGCACGAGAGCACAGAACGTATGTATCTCGCGGCTTGTAGCTTGTCTATAATATACCTACGACGTGGCGAAATTGCGAGCCGTGGATTTAGCAGAATGGAGATCGATGATATTGAGAGAGTATTGATAACAACTGTCCGGCAAGAATCACCGACTGCGCGAAATCGCAGTTATGTTTTAATGCAATTTTTAATGCAAAAATCACAACGAAATGTCTAACGTGTTAACGAATCAAAGTAGCGAAAATCAATTTAACTGCTCGGTCAAGGTTCGTAGAGAAAATCCCGGGAAATTCTTCCCCGAAAGTGTTTAAGGGGCAAAAATTGATTGGCCGTTCTCGGCGGTTCTCTTCGTCAATTTGTGATATACTATTATCATTATTCGTTCGTTCTAGATAGCGATCATAAATCTTTTCACGTGAATTCGATTATACTTATTAATCATTAATTTTTTTTCCTGTAAGGTTATTCAAAGTAAATAATTTGCAGTGCTTAGGGGCAATCATGGATCTTTTCCTGCAATGTAAACTCGTGGAAAGCAAACGTATATCTTCAAGGTTGGTTTCTTCACTTTTCACAAATTAATACTAGGGATTCATGACTGACCCCCTGAACTCGCGAGGTGTGTTCTCCGGTGTGCAAGGCGTGCACTTTGAACCCGGCGTGTCGGTGGCGTAATGCAATAAAACGCACGCTAGTATGGCACCTACGTACGCAACAGGTCATCGCGAATCACACTTGGGTTGCATTCCAAAACATCCTTTGTGAGGAAAATTTTATTCAATATCTTAGTTCGTTATGTATATTATAGCCCTTACGGAAAAAAAAATTATTTGAAAAAACTACCGAGAACAATATAGGAAAACTATTAAAGCACTATTTAAAAATTATTAGAATACTACTGTATATTTATTACTACATTATTGAAAAACTATAGAAAACCTATTCGTTAATTTTATAAAGTTTTAATATAAGTTTTCAATAGTTAAAACAGCAGTATTTTCGTTAATCGACGAAAATATTATAGTTCTAAGTAGTTTTCTTATAATATTTTTTCGTAAGGGTATTAGATATTAGAATACTACTATATATTTATTACTACATTATCAAAAAACTATAGAAAACCTATTCGTTAATTTTATAAAGTTTTAATATAAGTTTTCAATAGTTAAAACAGCAGTATTTTCGTTAATCGACGAAAATATTATAGTTCTAAGTAGTTTTCTTATAATATTTTTTCGTAAGGGTATTAGATATATTAATCGAGTAAAATTTGCTCAAAAAGGACGTTTTGGAATGTAGCTTTGGAGATTTTCTGGAGGAAGACTCACCTGACGAGCACGACGGAGTGGTCGAGTCTCATTTTGCCCGCGCTAGTCTTGTTTGCCACGGCGTAAACACGACGTTGACTCGCAAATCTCATCCATGCCCGCTGCGGTACATCAGTTGTGGTGATGAATCACCTCGGGACTGAAGATCAACGAGATCTGTTTGGGAACAAGAAACAATTCGAGCGAACTTGCGAGAGATCTCTTTCCACATCGCACATGTTAATAATGAATAGTAAACAATAACACAAAACGATACGCAAGTAATAATACAAAACAGGATGAGCACGGTCATTTTCTTCTGTTATTCTCTCTTTTATTGTGATTCGTCGAGAAAGTCGCTTTATTATCATTGGCATTTGTATGCTTACAATAGAACGAGCGCTCTCGTCTCCGCTCCTCTATTCCACTTCGATCGCTTGTACCCCGTCTTGCTATTATTCCCCCGTCCCCCTCTCCCAGTACTTCGTCTATCTACTCGCGCAACTTCCCTCAGTTGATCTTATTTAAACTTTAAATGTCGTTATTCTGTTGTTCGAACAACTGGATCGATCGTGCGAATTTTTCTTGAAAGAAAAGAAGACGTTCAAATTTATTAGATACAATGCTTTGATGAGGGAACGATCTTGTAGTCACAGAGAGGGGGAAAGGGAGATCACGATCACTTTTGAAATTACCGTTCAACAATCGTTCATCGGTAGAAAGAATAACACTAGAAATTTTGAAATGTAGTAGCCATTAATTTCTGAGTTGATTATTATGAGTTGAGTATTAGCGTATTATAAAGCTCGATGAAACAGATCGCTACGTTGAATTATATCAAAGTTAGAGGAAATTTTTCGAGAGTATCAGACGAATATTACATTGGAAACGAGTCTGTGTATGCTCTTGAAAGATTTCAAACTGATCGCCAAGTGAGGAAAGCGTTGAAAAATATTTCGTTATTATCTGAACACATTTTTTAGAGTATAAATTGATACTGGCGTTCTTAACAATTATTAATCCTTTAATGCATCGTTTGGCTAATCAAACGATTAATTAATAATTATTCAACTTAGTTTTTATTAGAAATCTTTTAAAATATTTCTTCTTTTTTCCATTCTCCAATTAGCAACCATTGTAATTTTTTCAGTTTAAAATAAAAATTCATGCATTCAAGGGTTAAGAGTATCGAACAATTCTTCTAACTGATGAAGTTTAACGAACGTACCTTGCACAGAGTACAGTGCGAGATCTGTTGATCGTCCGACTTGCGACGACCGACTGACTTTCAATGATTAGATGGACGCGCGCTAGACGGTTACACATAAAAGAGTAAAATCTAGGTTGTCCTGAAAGCTTGTACATACATCAGCAATCCGTTCTCTCTATAATGTGCCCCATTTATTACAGTGATATCATGCCAACGATACAACACTTAATAACGCATGTGAAATTGATAAAAAAAAACAGTGAATTATGTAAGTGAATTATTAAAGTTTATCTTGAACTCGCCGCCTATTTTTCCTATTCTTCGCCATGAATATGAAAGTAATTGCACACAAACTTTTATATTTCTCTCCGATTCTTACACACAATGCAATAAGAGCGTGCATATTAGTCGCCCTGCACAAGTGATCTTCATAATTGATCCCATTTCTTACACACTATTGATATGATTTATTTACACTAACGATATTATATGTGGTAACGTATGAAATTAATAATAATAATATTGAATTTATAACGTTAATGTAGAAGTTGCTTGTATCCCCAAACAGCACAAATGTCAAAGATGTGTCTTGGAGACATCCAAAAGAGATTTTAGAGTGCGACATCTTTCAGGGGTCTCCAAGGCGTCTTTTGCGTATTTATGCTGTATGGGTCGAGAGTGTGATGCGTGTGTACATAGAAAAACCCGATTTTAAATTATTCTAAATTTCAATACATAATCTGGGGTTACATAGATCGCTGCGGTAATAAACTGCACAGTTTCGAAATTGGATTTATGTTAATTTCATTGAGATACAAATTACTATAGAGAGAGAGGAGCGACTTTAGTTACTAACTTCACTAGCTTGTATTTCCTAACTTTTTTTTTATCCTTCTCATTGATCACTTTATATTTCCGTTACTTTCTCGTTTGTGATTTTATCGATAATTTAGTTTTGGTGAACTTTGTTGGGTAATTCTCTTGAAAACTTTCAGACATTACGCGGAACATTCTAGCATTATGCTATAGTCGTCGAGTGAGAGTCCTTGAGACGTCTTGGTAATCTTGTAGTAAATGAGTCATCAAACGCGAACGATAATCACTGCGAGAATTCAAGTGAATGTGAAACGGAAACTCGGGTGATTTGAGCGCGACGGTTAAGCCGCCGCGCGTGCAGCTTTCACTGGACGCGACATTCTCATCGAATCTTTCTTTTTTCGCTCGAAACAAATTAATGGTGGCAATCGACAACCGCAGCTGGCCTCGAGAGACTCGTTCCTTTTAAGAACAGAACACTTCTCGCGGGTTTTGCCACAAGGTTTCCGAAATTCCGCGTTACGAAAGTCCCTTGGCGTATTTCATCAATCGACTCGTTTACTGTAACACATAATTATGTACAGGTTTCTCGTGCGCGCACTGTGATGAAAATTCCACGGGTCACGAGTGCGATACGTAGTGAGCTCAGCTGAGTGTTCAGTGTCGATTACGAAGTGCGAATCGAGTGAATATAAATTCTAGAAGAAACCTAGCACAGCGCAACGTCTAAAATACGTCTCATGTCCCGATTTTCGACGTTATGTTATGTAGGTATCTTCTAGAATTTACTTACGAAGCGCTCGCTCGTTCATAATTACATTCGTCGTCCTGAAATCTGTCTCACACTCCCGGAGTCCAGTCTCCCCAGTCCAGTCTATCGCTCCAAAAGATATGCTTTACGACAAAAGATATCAATATCATGCGAACTACGGATACGTCGGTTACGCTATGTCCCCGTGCGCTTCTTCGAACGCGATCGACGGCGTCTACGGCAAAGTTCTCGCCATATCATTACGCATGCTCGCTAAGAAGTTCACAAGGAAATGGAAGATGTATAGCTGTTTATCCGATCAGCGTGGTAATTGCGCGAGAGCAAAAGGAGCCTTTTTGGTAAAGCACTATTATTGACATAACCGCGCATGGTGAAGATGCTGACGAGCGTTTTACCTCCCAGAATTGCCCCCGCCCGGGGTTCTATCGTCCGGCTTCGTATCCTCACATTTCCAGACATTATCGTGTGGATTATGTTCGTTCGCGTATTCCGGGCACGAATCGTTCACGCTCCGGTTATAGCCGCTCGAAAAACGGAAGTACATTGCATTACATGTTGTCGTCACGTGGCGGAGTTTCGCGATCGATCGGCCTCGAAGTTTCTGCTCTCCACGCGAACGAACGATTCGGTTAACGACTGCCGTTGGCGACGATTACGTTGTCGCTACACTCTTCCCCGGAGGGACAGGGGAGGCTTGTGCTTCGATTTAATCGATCATCAGCTGCCGGAAGGATCCGTCGAGACCGAACAAGTCATCGTGCGTCTTTGGTTTGTCCGGTCGCAAGCTCTCGTTGGCCTTCATGGTTTCTTGCTGCGCGAACCACGGCTTGTATTCCTCCAGCTTCTTCAGCCACTTTTCTGAAAATAGATCCGCGTTAGAAAGACCGTCTTAGCGTTTGCGACATTGCGACGTTAAGATCTCTTTTATAATCCGTCTCTTCTCTCATTATCGAGTACATATGTTCTCGCAGGACATGAATCTTGCTAATGAATGAACACTTAACGCGAAGAGTATTTAACGTGGTATATTAAAAAGTCACAAAAGACAAAAACAAACTCTGTTTTTTGAGAAAAAAACTCACTCTTCATACCTTCTTCGAGGAAAAATCCTTTCCTCAAAGAAACAATGGAAAAGTGCTTCTGAGAGACACCCGTCCTGCAATTGTAGGTAATCATCAAAATAATGAAGCGCCATACCATGTATAACCTGGATGGGTCCGGCGTCTCCGCCATACTCGGTCGGCAAGATATCCTTGGGCACGTATTCGTAAAGCGTGTTTATATTGCTGTGCATGAAGATGCGCTCGCGTACTTTCTCCTTGAGAAACGGCTTGACGAAATTGAGAATCGTGTCGACGAAGGGACTGACGTTGACCACATGCACCTGCTTGAGCTTCGCCGGGTAAGCCTCCTGCACGCAAACCAGAAACTTCTTCACCAAGGGCGGCGTGAACTTGGCGAAGTGCGTAGGCGTCGCGACCGCAGCGTCGAGGATGTAAATGTCGCCAGCTACCCCGTGAGACTCCTCCCTGAGGCGCACGTCGCCGATCATCAGCACCAGCTGCGACAACAACGGAAAATGAATACGCGCGGAAAGACAAGATTCGTTGGGACGACTAAGTATCTAGTGATGTCTCTGGTGAACGAACCAGAATTCCAGTTGAGATTACTGGTTGAATGCCGCTCCATAGTCTGTTCTTTGTAGCTGCACTACTGAACTGACATACACTGGTGCAATAAATGAGAAAAAATATGCTAATCTCATTCTAACTTATTGCACCAATTCAGCGATGCAACTACCAAGGACAGGACGAAGATTTCTGGTTAACCAAAGCATGCAACTGTTCAATATGAAACAATTGCAAGTTCTGGTTGCAAATCTTGTTTGATTAAGGCTGCGTTCGGGGAGACGCTATTTAGCGCTATGAGTACGCTCTGTCCTTGTTTATTCCTGAAAATTGAACAAGGATAGAGGACGTTAAATAGCGTCTCCCCAAACGCAGCCTAAGAATTCCGTTAACTTCCATCGGGATTCTGATTCGTTTATATTTCACTAGACATTTTTAATTCGATTCAAATTTGTTTGCCGCTCTTCTTAACAAAGCGTTCTTCTTGCTATTTCCTTTTACAGCGTGAAAATTGTAAGGAAAATTCAGGAGACTTGGTTCGTCAAGAGGAGTTCCGCGCTTTAAACGAGCAGGCGGCGGAAGAGCTCCTTCTAAAGGCACCACAAGCGCTCGCAAAGTGAATCGCGAAAGAGCGTTTGCGGATCCGGAGTATTTACGACTCCGCTCTCTAACTTCGCTTATGCGCAACAACTTGGGCGCAACATCGTTTGACAGGTTCTCAGGGAGAGGACGTGCGACCCCTTTATGCTCGATTCCGCCGCCAATGATCGAGGTGGGCTTCGTTACCTTCATGGCTTCTGTGACATTGGGAGTCGGCAGGTCCTTATCGACTCCACGCATCAGGACCACTCGATTTCCTTCCTTCGTGAGGCCTGGTAACACGGGCACTTGTCTGCAAGTAGACGTGACGAGGTAAAAATCGCTTACGCAAGACGTCTGGCTGCTCCTCACCGAGTGATCGAAAACTTAAATTACATCGGTGTAATGTCGCATATATGCTAATATATACTCTCTCTCTCTCTCTCTTTCTCTCTCCTTACACAACTTTCACTACGTCCTGCATCACTGGCCTCGTGACATCGCGATCGGCGAAGAACTCGGGGAGGGCGGCGCGCATCGTGAAGTACATGTCCAGCTTCTTTTTGCACCTCTCCAGGGAGAAGTTGCAGCCTCGTAGGAACGTCATTATTCTTTGGTCATCTGTGCAAATGCGGCTGTATCATTATCGAGCACCGAGCGATCGATTGTGAGAGCTACATTTCATCGTTTCTCCCGTGCAGAGAATATCCATGGAGCGTCGCCATGGAGAAAACGTAACGAAACGTTAGCAGATTACTCGGGATCGAACGCATTTCACGACTGTACTCTATTTCCGCCGTGTAATCGGAAAATGTGTCCATACCATCGAAGTGAGGTAAGTGTGGTTGCTTAGCGAGCCACTCTTTGATAATTTCGACGTCCTTGTCGCGGGTCATTGGATTCTCATTCAGACCCACCCGTATCTGCTTGGACATCTCATCTGTAGGTTGTATCAGCAACATCTGCAAAGAGATCGCGACGGGAATGTCGCGTAAGATGGTCGTATGGGCGGGTGAATTCGCCATCAGAATTCTCGCGACAATTTCACGATGATATCATTTCGATTTCACGCGCATCGACCTACGAGAACCGTGGACTCACCTCGCACACGTATACACACGCATGTAAGAGAAGATATTTATAGCGAGAAAAAGTCATAAATAATTGAGGTCATACATCGTAAAATGATTATGCGGCGATTTGGCTGCTTTCTCGCGTTATCGGAGCATGAAGTTGTGCTGCACAATAACTCGTACATTCCCGACGGCGCGTAATTGTGTCGGTGTGTGCCTCCGCGGGGCTCCTTTTCTGCTGCACGTGTTACGCGAGTAATGTGCACTCCAGCCGATTATGTAACCGGTTAAGATACCCATCGTTCTTATGTCAGGAATTAATGCTGACCAAAGCGGCTTGCTCAACCGAAACTTTCTCTAACTCCTTGCGGCCGCGGACGGCGAGAGAAGCAACAAGAAAGCATTTTGACTTCGTCCTTTCTCATTCCGAAGACATTGTCCTACTTTTCTTTTACAATCGGTGCGATTTCTTCGAGCGCCCTTCACTGCGCGAAATTTACCAAAATTTGCGTTAAAAAATTTCGTTAGGCGCGCAATTGCTTGCCGATGCTATAACTAACTAAGGACAGAGAGTCGTTATCGTCGCGCAGGTGCACGGCAGTACATGGCAGAGAAGCTGCGCAACGACGACATAACGATAACGACACTGTCGTTAGAAGTTACAGAATCGACAGGCCGGTGGATTTCTTCATCGTTACATCGACTACGTGAAATCCACGACGACGGGGGCCGCTCGAGAAGTGTGATCGAAGGTTCCCGCGTCTGGATAGTAATTAGTTTTTTGTCGCCAGTTTTTCTTCTTTTTTTCAATGATGCGAGCGATACAACGTTGTCGCTATCGTCGTCCCATAAATAAAATCATGAGAGAAGCAAAGCGATCAAAATAGGAAATAAAAATGTTAAAAACTGTCCTTGGCAAAACTTGAATTCGTACAGATAGACCGAAACTTTGACGTCGCAGTTTCTCGCAGAGAAAAAACAAACGAAATCTCGACGCTACGTTACGTTACGTTTATTGATTCGGAAAAGTGATATCCTAGAGAAGATAATTTCAATGATCAATCTCGCAGTCCAGCTTCTTTTTGCATTTCTCCAGAGACTCCAGGGACTGCGAGACATCCTTTTGTCACACCGCGGTGTCGAGGGTAAGCGCTGGTACCGCGACCCTTTGAGTTCGCCCTATAGAATTTTGCAGGCGCCGTTGAAGCAACGTTAACGATCGTCGCATCGCAAAACACTGACTATAATACAAAGAAACTAGTCGAACGCAATGAAAATGAAAGATGGAGAAGAGATTCATTAAGAGTCCGGACCTAAGATGGGAGCAACGTGGTTTCTGCTTGATCAACGACTCGACTCGAAAATCGCTAATTAGATAGCTAATTAGATAGATTAAGACAGCTAATTTCTTTTTTCCCTTTCTACACTCGTAAACTTCTGGAGAAGGCGCATTACTCTCAAAATTACGCGAAATTACTCGGACAATTTTCTCCTCTCTCAACGATTGCACTTGTGGCGAGTGAACGAAGGGAACGAAGAAAATGGCACAGTTACGTTGTTCTAAGAGTTGTCCGTCGTTTTGTGCCTTACGCAGTCGATGACACATCTTGGACCCGGCATGGATTCAACGCGACGGAAGTAATTTCGACGTGTGTCCACTTGAGCTCGAGCTCTCGTCGTAGCGGGAAAATGTCGATTCCCACAGTCGAAATATATGTCACCACAGTGAAACGCGCCGAGATCGGGACTTACCTTGACCGGCGGAGAGAACACGATCCAGACACAGACGGACGCTCGGCGAACGCGCAAACGATCGCGACGACGATGACTTTCGGATTATTACGGAAGGAGAAATGAGACTCGAGCGGCGAACTCGCGAGACGGCAAACGAACAACGGAGTGGGAACGATTACCTCTTGGACCGGTTCTCCTTTATACCGTAGAGACACCCCACTCTCACTTCGCTTTCCGTTATGGCACACGATAGAAGGAAAACCCTCGCGCGATCAATGAGCGACTTTTGGGGGGAATCAGCGGGTTAGCAAATTCAAATAAGATAAGACGAATTTCGGACACGGTAGCACGGCCGACGAGAAGCATTGTTCGCGCCAAGGGAATCGTCCGTTCTCTGAACGAAAACCTCCGAACTATCCCGCAGGATAACGAGGCACTTGCTGACTCCAAGACGGTTCTTCAGACCAAGACGTGAGGCCAAGTCGACGCTTCCAAGTCACCTTTTAGCTCTCCATACTTCGAAAGAACGCAACTTACGCGCTTATGATCCTGTTACGAGCTTCCAGTATGATAGCGTCCACTTTTGTATCGAGAAAACGCGCTCAGATAAATCCACTTGCTATTCGCGCTTATGAAAAGCGTCAAGATTGCTCGAATTATGCAATCGGATTGGAAAACGACATTCCAGCGAAAACAAACGCGTCACTGCATCAGGTGCTCTATTAAATAATAGTGATAAGAGGACAAAAGATGCGTCGCATTTCCCTCTGCAAATCGAGGAAGATCAGTGTTGATCTCATACAATCGCGAGTCGCACGCAATCGCGATAATTTCGCAACGGAACGGAGGAATGGCGATAGCCATCGTTTGTTATAATTTCGCGATTTTAGAAACTCACTCATGAAATTGTGAGCTTATGTAACGCGAAAATGAGCGGGTTTGACCGCTTTGGTGAACATACACCGGCTTTCTTTGCTCTGATGAGCAACAAAATCCGGAAACTTTCTTCTCGAGACCGAATCGTGCGTTTACGCACTTATTGTGCGGCCACTCAAGCGAGTAGGAACGAAAAGAAGAGATTTAGATGTGGAAATATATATATATATATATGTGTGTGTGTGTACGCGCGCGCGCGTGTGTGGGTGGGTGTGTGTATGAATGCTCATGTGTGGATCGATATAATCAATAAAATTATTTGAATTCCACCAACAAATTAGATTTCTCTTTAACGCTTTTCATTGCATTTCTCTTCAACTACTACTACTAGCACAATAACAATTACTACTACTTCAACTACTACTACTAATTATACATGCATTTGACGATTCATTACCGAAAGAGGTATCATTAATAGTCGTTACTTGAACCTCTCTGTATCAAGTGAGATACTCCGACTTGAGTCTCAAGTGAGACGATCTTTTCCAAGTATAAAGTCATGCATAATATATGATTCAACTGGAAAAATAGTCGGTTCTAATTATTTCATTTAGATACAAATATGTTGCAAATGAGATGGAAAAAAACAAGCTTTACATAATCAATACAAACTTTACATAATCAATGTTGTGCGAGTTTATAATAATTTCGTCACAAATCAGAAGAAAATTAATAAGAAACGGAGTTGATCTTCGTTCAAGGCTGCGACTGATCGAACAAGAACTTAATGTTTTTACATATCCGCATATCCCGACGATTGAATATTTTGACGTTATTATTTCCTAAAAATATTCAGTAGATCCATGAATAAGCAGAAATACAAAGAAAATCCCAAGTATTTCAAGTATGTGGCATTTCCTTGATCGACATAGAGCCGATGTCTTGGTACGCTAACTAACAGCTAAATCACATGTTTGCCTTTCTCTGATCTGGAGGAAGATTAAAGACAGACATACGATTTAACTGTTAATTAGCTAACCAAGAGGTTGGAAAGAACGTTTCACAGTCGATTGTCTCGGCGGGATCTGTACCGACGAGAAGATCCGCGGATAATCAGGTCTACCCGCTCGATTCTTCTCGCCGCGTTCACTTCCGAGTGCACAGTGATAGTGCATAGAACTGCACACTGACTAATCGCGCGGCTGCGCCCGTGCCCTCGTCTTACTTTCTTTCGCGAATAAAATCGCGAGCGTTCGTGGTTGCACGGGCATGGGATTACGCGAACGGCGCGACCGCCATTAGCGACAAAGAATTCGCGTGTATGCGTGAAATTACCGGTCGCAATCGCGGCAATTTTGTAATTTACATTTGAACGAGCAAAAAACAGCGTTACCGAGTATATAAACACACGTGACTTATGTGGAGGATTACTTTGCACAATTTCAATTACATTTTATATACGCTGAATGCATCAAGAATGAGTATAATCTCAATTGATACATATTTAAAGCTTCTGGAAACACTTATATCTCTTTTAAATATCAGAAGCGAGGAAACGAGTGCTAAGATTTTTTCGAAATACATAAAAATAAAATGATATATCCGTAAAGTGACACGTGCAGTGGATCGAGCAAATTTATAATCTAGTAAAGCAGTCCGAACACTTCCCTTTTGTTCTAACAATCAATAATTTACCGTAAACAGACGCAATAAAATCATGCGAGGAGATAACTTAAAAAGACAGGCCCGTGTATTAATAATTATTTAAAATATTTATTCAAGTAAGTCACTCAGATTTGAGCTGAGTCAGATGAATTTTTTTTCGAATCACGATTACGGATATAAATGTCACGTATATCGTAAATCAACTGAAAAACTTGGATCTAATTCAGAGTAGAAATTGAGGAACCTCACAAGAGAAAAATGCCAAATGATGACTATTAATACACATTGTGCGTCACGTACACGATAATCAACGGTAAAGACGCGAGACGTTTATTCGCGCAAGGCTCAAGTCTAACTGTGAACTTGTCACAGGGAGAGTTACCTGACATAGAGTGTACACAGTCCCGCGGCTACTGATAATATACGATCACTTCTATCCGATGAGATTTGAATAACAGGTTTATGACGAATTTGAGATCGAATTTTCCGCGAAGGAAATTGACGTAAAAGTGCTCGCGACAGTTCTTTCAGTTAATTCGTGGCCGACGAGCGTGTCGAAGTTTTGCGGCAACATAAAGTTGCTGGAGAGCCTAATAGCAAGCAAGACATCGTTATCTACTTCGTTTTACTATTAGAAGGGATCGATTGCGCGGTTTATTATTCCGTTATTTAAACGTGAGTGTCGGCAGAAAGTGGGACAGCCCGCGCAGCAGCGGGACACACCGCGCTGTAAACAAACAATCGCGATTATTGTCGTTGACGCAATCGAAGCGAGTTACACGTGCTTGCGTAAGTCAAAGTTTATTCATAAGTTTAACCGCGATAATGTGACATTCTGTCTGCTCTGACAAAATATTTGGTTACATTTTGAGCACGTGAGCATTCTGTCTCTCACAATATATCCTCTCCTTCGATTTTGATCGCGTGCCGCGTTGACAGTTTTTGAATAGCTTGAAATTTCTTCGCGGTTGCGACAGGTAAAAAATATAGGAGAGAGGGGATAAACCAGAAAGAGAGAATAAAGGATAAACACGCGTAATAATAGTTCGAAACATTGTCTTTTTTTTTTAAGAAGAGGTCAAAGCGACTACGGCGAGAAGAGAGGTCGCGATCCCGAGTAATGTAACGAGATCGTACGACGTTGTCTCCGACGTAGTGGAGCTTCTGGCTTGTATCTCGACGATCATTGTTTCCTCGACATTTGTTGTGTTCTGGAAAGAAAGGTGCAAGGTAATCAAAACTTCCCGCGAATCATATCGAGACGTAAGACCTCTCGAAATTGCCGCGGTTGGGTTTCACAAATACGATTTAATAAATACAAAATATTCTCTGACAAGGATATTTTACGTGGCTGTGTGTATGTGTATGTGTGTGTTGCGTCAACCAGAGAAAAGGAAATAAAACTGACACAAGCGTAAGAACTTATTTTGACATCGGGGTGTCCTCAGATCTCGTTTTATTTTGCACGGAAACAAATGTGATCGCATAATGTATGAATATCTGTTGTTAAATGGAACGTATAAGTGTCGCAATATCAAACGTCAATATTACGCTAAAGAGAACGGCCAAGTTCTCATAAGTTTTCAACCCAGTTTTGTGGCATTGGAAATTTTAAATTATTTCTTAATAAAATCGTAACGACGAGTAGATTAAAGATATACAAGTGACAAAGCGATGTTTCACTATTTTTGGAAGAAAATTTGAGAGAAAATAGCTTCAAAAGATACATATTCTGTCGAAATGAGTGATATCGTTAGGACCTTTGTAAGAAATAAAATGTGTAAAAATGTTTATGTTAATAAAATAATTCGGATCATAAGTGCTAATAATTTTTATTAATTTAATCTGACTTTTACCAAGCTCTGATTAACTTGATCGCCGATTAATTCCGTTGTGACTAGCAAATAGCAATCGGCAAATTTCACTAGTTACAACGGAATCAATCGATGATTTTACAAACCCACTGAACAACTCTGTTTAAAAACGCGTATCTTCTAACTTTACATTTTACGTAATGATCCTATACAAAAACTTTGACGACATTATTACGTTATAATGAGCCAATTTTGCGCAAGAGTGTGAATTATATGTCATAATTCATGGTATAAAAACATACATAATATAAATTGCTTAAAACTACGCATTGCTCAACTATTATATCTTAAGCAATTCAAGGTTAGCGACTCAAGGTGTTTATCATAACTTTGCTGTGTTACCGATATAAAAAACGTTTCATTCTATCATTAAGAGAAATTGTAAAGTCAGTCTTACAAGTTCTTCAGCGGCGTTCTGGTCTCTGATAACGCGCTTCCACGTTGGCGATTTTCGCGCGGAAATCTCGGTCGGCGCACGTGAGACGGCCGGCACGTCGCGCCTTTGCCGACTCGGCGGGCATCTCGGCTCGTGACAGCCTCCTGCGGTCGCGTTCCTGATCGCCTCCGGAAGTTGCCAGATCGTCCTGGCCTGCCGGAGAATCTGCTCATTCGGCCCTCGCGCGACAAACGGAACGATGGACTTGTTGTTTCCAGAGCAAGTTTCTGTCACTACTAACAGCGTATCCGCGGAGATCTGCATCGATCGGCAAACGACAAATTGCGCGATAACTTCTACACTAACGTTCCACCGATTTTCTAATCTTTGTACCGATTGATATTTTGATGAACTTCTAATTTCTGCAATATGGATGACCGAACGCGCAAACGCATTTATGTTTATTTCAAATCTGTCAAATTCGATTCACTGCGAGATCTTGTCAACAAAGCTATTAGTTGTACATAAAAGCGACGATTACTTCGCGCTGGAGGAGGTTAATGACGACGACTTGCTCGTTCCTTGGCACAACAGCAATCAACGTGTAACCTTTGTGCTTTGAAATGAACTTGAGTTCACTGATTATACTTCTAATCAGATTGACGACAGTTGGCTTGAGAGGAAACGATGTACGTGGTGAAGACTTATCTTCGAACGTGCCATCTTTTCTACCTAACGATTCAAGGAGAGAGCGGAAAAAAGCCATTTTTATTTTGGAGAGGACGTCAAAGATATCCCATGCGCCGTCGTAATTCGTCGTGTCTGCAAAAAATAGACCCTCTTTATCCCTCAAATACCGTATCTTCCATCTGTCTTATTCTATCATTATCGATGTTTCATTTAAAAATTATCCTTTTCTTGATGCGAAAACAAAATTCGTATGCAATACCGACGTATCTTATTTTATAGAGTTAATTCTGGAACCCTAAACATGTGTGAAATTTATCCAACTGTTCAAATGTCACCGTTTTTAAAAAACATGTGTTGTGTTTTGTAACTCGATTAAGAAAAAAAATATTTAACCATTTTTGCGGAAGTAAGAAGCAAATTAAAATGCGCTGAGTGAAAAGACATATCTTTAGGGCTTACATAACTTTTTGATGTTTAGGATTAATAATTCTTTTTTACTTTTTTACTATTAATTATTTTTGCTTTTTGTTTTTCTCATACTCCTACAAAGAGTACATATTTTGCAAGTATTATTAATCTGTTGATTAAACGATTTCTTTTCTAGTCTTCTCTAGTTGATATAATCATGACTTACCCCCTCTCTGAGGTGCCACCAAAGTGGGAATAAATTTCGCTCGACTACCGAGATCTAACGCTTGCCACGAGTCGCTGGAATCAGTCTTGCTTTTGCGTAATTCTAACTTTGCATCACCTTCATTGAACCCGTCCAGCCCGGTCAAAATGTCGCTTGAAGCGGCAACGTAATCAAGAAGCAACGGAGTGTTGAACTTGCTGCCGGAAACTGCGCCTAATACACAAGACTCATAGGATCAATAATTTCTCGTTGAATAGGCAAAAATGTCTTTGTGAATGTGTTTATATAAGACGAAACTTTATATAATATTAATATCCGACAGTTTTCTTTTTAAGATCTACTTTCTAAGATCTAGTTTCAACAAGGTTTAGTCTTTATGAATTTGCTTTTACAAGGTGTTCCTTTAATATCACTTCTTAATCTCTGTGATATATATTTGGCAATGTTTCACTTTTACACATCTTCTTTAGCATTTAACTTTTTTGCAAGACTCAGTGAACAAAATCTTTCAGACCTGTGGCCATCTGTCTCGTGTACTTCGCCCAAGACAACAGCTCCCCGATATTCGAATAAAGCAGACGCTCGCAATCGCAGTCCTTCTCCTTGTCCTCAGAAAGCAAAACGTCCTCCGACGAGATATCGATGGTCCCGACCTTATCGTCGCAGCTCTAAGATATCAAAGCCCTAAGCTCTAAGATATCAAAGATAATACGCAGCTCAAGTCCCGGTGTACTCAGACCGCATAAAAGGCTCAACATTGATTTCGGAACGACTTCGCACCGTTAGAATTAGCACACTAAAGAGCGAAAGTGAAAATCGCTACACATGATTCAATAGCCCTTCCAATGCCTCTTAGACTCTTAGACTTTCTACTGCCGATTTTTCTTTTTTAATCACTTTTTTATCCGTTCATCTCGATCAGTGGAAGATACCTGGAGAGATCCTTGGACAGTGAACAGCGACATCTCCGTGAGATCTAGCCATGGATTCTCTTTCCTATTCTTATCAAGATCCTTGTCATCGATCAAGAGCAATACGACATTGCGGGGGGCAGCGAGGGCACCGTTGCTTTCCCCCAAAGAATCGTTGTTCCTCGCTGTTGAAGCTACATCACCGATCAATTTTATTTCGATGTTCTCCGTCGTCGATCTCCTCTCGCGCGTCTGATTCTCCTGCATGCTTTCTTTCATTTTCGTCAGCACCTTTGCATCCTCAGCTGGCCGGGACTTGTCGGTACTCGTCGTCGGTATCTTGCTGTTCGACGCGGACTCCACGGGTATCCTTCGATAGGTGTCTAAAGACGGTGCCGTGTCCCACGTGGACAATACAAGCGCTATCCGACAAAATGGACATTAATCACCGGCGTCGCGTTACGTAACGGCAAGATAGCGCAGAAGTGAATTTAGAAGACAGAATGAGAGAACGGAAACGAGTTCTTAGAAGCGGGTTCATTACACGATACACTCTTGCTCCTTTCCTTTTTCTCGAGAGCATAAAGTAACGAGCACAAAAGCGTGATCTGAAAAGTCGCGTCCTTGACAGTAAAACCGAGAATTGGACGTTAAACAAAAAAAAAAAAAGAATTGGATTTGCACAGCTAATATATTGCACATTCCTCCCTCCCCCTCATAAATATGAATAGCCAGTGAATAAAATTACGAGAGTGTACACGGCGCAAACGAAAACGAAAGTTGACACACGCGTGCGCAACCTTAACAGCTCGTACCTGAACGGTCCATTGTGAATCCAAGCGAGCACGTCATCAGCGACCATAACAGTACAAAGATACCGGCGCGAGGCATCGTGATTTCTGCGCTAATTGAATTAACGCGATACTTTCATCATACGGTGCAGCGTTAAAATTCTTCGTTGCGTGTATATATATATATATATATATATGTATATATATATGTACGACGTACCGTTCAATAGCGTGATCAAGCTGGCCGACGAATTTCTTGACAAAGTTCTCAAGCAGCGAGGCTAACGAATCTCTGAGATCCTTTTATTTTGATTCGTCTAATCGCGGCAGTTACTGCACGAGAAGATAATACATCCGTCTTATCGATCCTTGGAAAAACAACTAAATCACATTCTGTTGATCAACAAACGTCAGTCACCTGAACGACCGAATAAACAAAAGTCAACGAAAATTTGAGCAACGCGCTCTCGGAAACTGCTGTCTTATCACCCATACGTACAGGTCCCATATACAGGGTGAATATTATATGCCGGAACACCTGAATATCTCGAAAACAAAGCGTTGTATAAAAAAATGTTAAATACAAAAGTTGTAGGGTTTAAAAAGATCTATTTTATGATATTAGCAGTTTGACCTTGAGTTGCGTCATAAAGATCAGGTCAAGGTCACAATGATGTTTTTAAATGGATACCCCCATTTTTTATTGTATATTCTTGTAGCTTATCTCGAGAGCTTTCCAAAACACTATACTTAAGTATTTTTTCGTTAAGTACTTCAATAGCTCCTCGTCTACCTATCCAACGATCAGGAAATACTGCATTAAGATAATTACGAACATTCCTCCCGTAATGCGGAGCTGCACCGTCTTGCTGAAACCACGTATGTTCGAAGTTGTCACCCGTAATTATCTTAATGCAGTATTTCCTGATCGTTGGATAGGTAGACGAGGAGCTATTGAATGGCCGGCCAGATCACCCGATCTCACAGCATTAGATTATTTCTTGTGGGGTTATTTAAAAGAAATAGTTTACAAAACAAAACTTGCCTTGATAGTCGTTACTTGAAATGAGATAATCTGATTTGAATTACATGAAACTTGTCCCATATAAGATACTCAGGTTTGAATTTAGGTCCGTATTAATAATTATTACTTAAAACTTGTTTCAGGTGAGATACTCAGATTTTTATTCAGAGTCAGATTCAAGTTTTTCAGTTTAATTACGATAAACGTGACATTTACATCTATATTAATCTACACATCTGTACACATTGCAATTACACACCGACCTTAGAGTCAGATTTGAGTTTTTTACTTGAATAATATAATGTACGCGACATTATATTTGTATAATCGCGATTCAGTTAAAAAATTCACGTGTAATTCTTAATTAAAATCTAATTAAAATCTGAGTAGCTGATTTGAGGCAAGTTTCAAACAACGACTATTCAAATACGCAACTCAGAGTTAAATAAGAATCTCTCAATTAAATCACGATTACAGATATAAATGTTACACATATCACAATTCAAACCTATGAAAAATTTGCATCTAAAAAAAATTTGCAAAAGTTTGAGTATCTTACTTAAGACAAATAACAACTATTAATAAGGGTCATAGTATGAAGGATTTGCAGTTTCACTCGAACTTTCTAATTAAATAAAACCACGCAGTATCCTAATAGTGTAGTCTTACGATTTGACCTTGCTCGGCCGTCGATTATCAACCGGCGTCATGTATACTCACCGTTGAAAAGGTTGTCCGGTTTTTTGTACGTTTCGGAACCTATCTTTTCTCTAATGAAAGAATTTATTTTTCGATAAAAGAGTTCTTTCATTAGGCGAGAGAGAGAGAGAGAGAGAGAGAGAGAGAGAG